ATTTGGCTGTAGAAAAAAAATTAGCTCGGTGACCCCATATTTTTTTCGGGTCATTATTTTAACAATTGAATGAAGTTTAAAATAATGAAATATAAAAAAAAGTTATTGTTGGGAAATTTCTTTTATTTAATGTTATTATAGGGGAGAAAATACATTATTTTTCCCATTGAAATACAATGAAAAGGTCAATTTAGGGGATATCTAAGAGTGATTTTTAGTGTTTTGGGTATGATTTTGTTTTGGCTGTAAAAAAAATTCGAGCACGGTGACCCTAATTTTTTTTGGTCTCATTTTTCTCAGAATTGAACAAAGTTTCACATATAAAAAAATAAAAAAAAGTTATTGTTGGCATCATTTACGCAACCACCCTCTTAAGGAAAGGTATACGAACAAATGAGAGTTTCCATGTCATGTGTGCCTGATATGATTCAAATATCAAAGCATTACATCAACTTTAAAGTAGTTTAATTTGATGAAAACTAAAACTATCGAAATCGACACTCACCGGCTACGGCCGTTACCTTTGCTTGATACAGGCCAATGACAACGTTGGACTCATCCAAAGTGCCACCACAACTATATAGATGTCGTAATTGGCGCAACTGATGAGGTTCATCAAAAAAATCAAAAATGATTTTACAAGTTTTTTACAACTTAAGTTTCTGCAAAGTGTGAAGACAATCTATGGATAAACTATATAACATATTTTGGATAAACACACAGACTACTTTATATTAATGATTTTCTTTAAACCATTGACAGATCACGGTGGTATTATCTACAGTTTGTTAAGGAACTCGTCACGTCACAGATATAAAATATGAGAGCCAACTAACTAAATTTCGGAATATTTCCAGGTAGGCATTTGCATTAAAATCAACAAAAAAGTTTATATCACAGAACGAGCAATACTTTCAAATACGTACCAAAGTACTTATTTATTTGACCAGTGAATAACAGGTGATACTTGATTAGATTTGATGTATATTCTATTTAAATGCGATGTTATTTGCCAAAAGGCATATAGTACCTGTAGTGTTGGTTGCAATGACTAATACTGCCACACTGTCTTTTGATTGTTTAGTGAGAGGCAGTGTCACTATTTGTAAATTATATATTTCACAATAAATTAACAATAATGTTTGAAAGTCTGAAGTTTGTTAGGCAAAAAAACAAACATTGAAATATGCATTCTATTGTTGAAATTGGAGTTAATATCAGCATTGTGAAATTAATATTGTGAAGTCATTGTCTCATATTGTTTTTGTTAGCTGTGTCTTGTAGAAAAGCTGAAATGTGGAATATTAAAACAACAAAAAAACAACAACAAAGCATTACTTGAACTTGTTCGTTTTTGAAGGTCAACCATCACCATATTTAAACAAATCGCATAAAATTACAATCGCATGTGATGTATATTTCTTAGTTTTTCAAATAAATCTACAAAATCCCATAGCGGTTTCATCTTTACATCGTATTTTCAATCACTGTCATCACTTTTTAAACCCGTTTCCTTGACATATCAAAAGAATGTGTTATTCTCACACTTAAAAACAAAATGGGACTCGCAACAGATGCAACAATATTTCGAACTAAATGAAGCCCAATGGTACGAACAATAAATTTTGACATCTTTATCGTTTGGATTATGTAATAATGTCTATGTCTCGTTCATTCATTTGACCAATAAAAATCATAACTGCCTGGAAAGTAATATGAATAAAGTAAGTAAATAAATGAATTAAAACGTCGAATTAAGAAGCAAAAGTCTTTTCTGGGTCACTGCGAATGGCATGATTTCCTCGAGTCTCTTCAGTTGCAAGGCAACCATACTGGGACCGATTCGCGTCGTTCCACTACTGCCCTTGGTGGGGGCCCGCTACCATACTATATGACTCCCGGAGTTTACTAAAGCACGTTAGTGGAGGAACCAACCACAGTCTCACAATCTGTCTCCAGCAAGAGCGGCCAGAGAACCAACCCATGCCAAGGGCCGGTAAACGGTTGGACCTTCGGACCGGGTGTCCGTAGTGACAATGATCAACAACTCCGTACCTGGGGCACGAACGCGGGACCTCCGTATCCCACGACGTTCAACCGCAAAGAAGCCTCAGTCTACACCACTAGGCTACCCTGCTTAGGTGTCAAAACTGCTAAAAAATAATGTAGTTGTTACAATTATTTGCTTGGATAAACATGATATTACATTTCTTAATTGATTAATCTGATTTAGTTGGACCAACGATCAAGGCAATGAAATCAACAACTCTTGCAAATGTGAACGGGAGTCGTAAAGACAGAAAGTACAAGAATCGTGATCAATGTAAAGTATAATATTTAAGACACATCTTTGAATATCGGGTGGGAGGAGCATTCCAAAATGAAGAAGAATCATTTAGAACATTTGATTTGTTGCCAATATATCAATTGCGTCTCAAATAAATGAAATAAAAGGTATCGCCGGCCACTAAAGCCGATGAGTGAAAACAATTATAATTGATGCATCTAGATCGCTCACTATAAGGGTAAGTGAATAGGTTTTTGTGTAGATACGTCGAGGATAATAAGCTGTTATATTTCGACGCTTGAAATAATCTGATTACGCTTATTAATAATTACGCGTGGCTATTAAACACAAGTGTTGTGTAGAACAAAAACAAGAAAACTGAACGACCTATTAAGGAACTGTACTTCAGTTTCAAAGTGTTCAAGATATTTCCGCATGTTCAAAAACACAAAATTTATATTTTGGGCTATCCATATTTTGTCAGATATCACCAATTCATATCACAGGGAAAACATAATCATGTTTCCGAAAAGAACTCTTCTACTCGCTACTCAAAATGAGGCACGGACACAAGTACAGAGAATAGCCTAGTGAAGGCATCTATCTAATAGTGGCTTTTCCATATAGCTTTGAAATCTCGTTAAGGTCTCGTTTTAATGAGATTTTAGGAGGTTTGCATTTTTAACCACTAAAGACTATCATTTTCTTCTATTCTGTGTGTAATTTTCTATCAAAACAACTTAGTTTTTGCACTGTTATTTACCTTTATTCAAATTCTAGAGATTTTCAAGTTTTCTAAAAATGGTCGGGCTAAATCCCCATTTGTTGGATTTACACTAGCGCGCTAAGACGTCTAAGCTTAAACGTTTTAGCCTTAAAACGTTTCCAGATTTACTCAAGAGCTCTCGGCTAAGAGCGCTTAGCTAAAACGTTTTAGGACCCTAGTCATAGCCAAGACGTCTAAGCGTTAAAACGTTTTACAAGCGAGTGTAAATCCATCGGTTTTAGCTAAGAGCTCTTAGCCCGGTTTTTTGCGTTGCGCCGAACGAAACATTTGAAACTTTCCATTTACATATGTCGCATGGTACTTTATTTTATCGTATCCCTTGTTCTCAATATCATCCCGAAATTATTGAGAAGAACTTATTTGCCTGGCGATTTATCATAATCCTAATTTATGCATAAAATCTTCCTGCTCTCTTTCATGCTTTTTACAATGCTGTCTTTAGGACATATTTTCTGAGACCGATCCATTCTTTAGTACAAAGTCGGGTACAAAGTATAAAAGCAGGAAAGGAATAGCTATATTGACTGAACCGTCCTTCAACCAGTATTAAACTGCTTTTTTCATTTTACATGTATACCTACATATCTCTAAGACGTTTTAGGAAAACAGATGTAAACTCGATCTAAGACGTCTTGAAAATGGTAATGTAAACTCAACTTAAATTTTCTAAAACGTTTTAGCCAAAACGTCTTGGCCATGGGATGCTGCGCGTAGTGTAAATTGGGCTATTGACAACGTAACATACATTGGTAATATAACAGGCTTTCGTCAATGTAACAAAAGCGATGGGCTTAGTACAGCTTCATTTACAAAACAAATTCCAAATCGAAGAAACTTATTAAAACTAGGCTATATTTTCTTGCTTTGGGCCAAATTATAATCTGTAACTTGACTTATTAGTAGGTTTAAATCGAGAAAGCAAAAAATTCGTAACCAGGAAGTTCATCCATTTTGTTACATTGATGTTCCGTCAACTAGTTGTGGAACAGTGATTATGGCATTCGGTATAACGCCTTTCGGTACAATGCGCGTCGGTACAATGCGCGTCGGTATAATGAGTTTCGGTATAATGCGCAGAACCCGATGTTTTGAAGGTGTTCACTAAACCTAGCTATTGTCAGAGGAGTCGCACCCCTTACACTTTATCTATTAACCACCACATTATGTAATCAAATCACCCAGCTAGGCTTTTTTGGTAAACTAAGGCCCTCTTACGGGAACAGGCTTTTATCATAATAATGATGAACACATAATGCCAACTGATAGTGATTTGTCACCCATAATTGTTACCACTATTGTAATAAACTAATAATGAAATAAAACAGAATATAAAAAATCATAATAATGAGACCGACATGACTTCCCTTCCTACCCGAGTGCTTGATATTGTAGGCTATTCAGTCCGTACCTATCTACGGCCCCTTAACCTTTCTTCTGAGGCTAATCCACCACAACCACTGGTCAGTATCAAGCGATGGTAACGGTCGTAACCTTCGCATCTAAGATGGCGGACGGTAATTGTCGATTTCGATATTATCAGTTTTCCTCGTATTAAACTATAGTTGACGTTATGCTTTGATATTTGAACTAAATCAGGCTTATATGACATGGAAACTCTGGAGTATGATAATTTGTTCATATATCATGCGTGGGCGCTTTTAGTTCAACGATATATTCCACCACTTAAGGGAAGGTAATGTATATGGACAACTGATCAGACTCCAGAGTTTTCCGTGAAAAACTAAAAATATCGAAATCGACAATTATATGTTACTCTCATACGTAAAAAACAGAATGTGACTCGCAACAGATGCAACAATGAACTGAATGAAGCCCAATGGTACGAACAATACAATTTGACATCTTTATCGTTTGGATTATGTAAGACTCGACTGATTGGAAATCGCTTATCTCTTGTACGTATTCACCAAAGGCATCTTATCAGCAGACGAACCTCTTTGTCCCTAAATTCAACCTTACATTATCCCGAATGGCTTCGCACCAGAATAGGAGCTAATATGAAGTGCTTGTTTTGTTGCTTTTTGGCAGTATTTCTGTTGGTAGAAGCAGCCGGTATGTGATATGATTATTCTTGATAGTTTCTGTATGATGATTTGATACAATATTTAGAGTCAAATAATGTCCAATCATATTATTTTTAGGATTTTTGTTCGGTGGTGGAGATGACAACAATGGCCGACTAGCCTACTTTAGACTCCATACAAGGTATGAACGTAGCTCAAATTGTATTATGTAATATATGTGCAACCATCAGGAAATAAATATCATTATTATATCATTGCTAGAGATTGTGTGATTTGATTCAATACCATGTGATCAAAAATACCGTAGCGTATTTCAAAGCTCCCTCAATTTTAGGATAATAAAAGACGTATTGCCCGCCCGGGAATTCTGAAAACTGCACTGGACGAAAATAAAGTGTACTATACAATATGATACTATACCTAATACGTAATTATGTTAACTTATGGGTTTATGATATATGTATTGATTGAAATAAATGATCACAGAGAATGTCTAGCAATGATATGATAAAACAGCTATTTCATTCTATGTTCGGGCAATACCTGTTGCACGTTCAATGATTTTGCAGTATGTATTGCCCGTACTAGGGCCAGGCAAATACATGCTGCAAAAATCAAAAAAAAAATTCCTAAGAGCTTTATTTTCAGATGGCTCATTATATAAAAGATCACGGACATTTGCATTTTCTCGTATGCGTATGCACCACTTATATTTTGCATAAAATGTATTGAAGAAGACGTTTTCTGTACTCAAGGGCATTTGGGAAAGACTCTGTGATATGGAATGACTGGGATGGAAAGGAAATCAAGTATGGCGACTATAATCGATTAAGGGAGTTGAAATTCGACAACAAACTAAAAGTTGTCTTTTTTGTCCATGGCTGGCTTGGATCAGAAGGCAATTGGTACATCATTGATATGTACAACGCCATGTTAGATACGGTAGGGACGGACGATATGATGGAAACTCTTGAACATTATGCTTATTAATTAGTATTGGGACAACCAGCTAGCGATGGAATTGGAATTGTTTTATCTGCAAGCTCCTCCTTTACATCGTAAAACATTTACAGCGATGAGATTTGATAATGATTGTTTCCTTAATACTTGGAGATCATATAATTGTAGACCTAGAATAGTCATTTTTGGATTATATACACATTTTAGGAAGACGTTAATTTCTTTGCCGTTGATTGGAGTTATGGTTCCAACACACTTGACTACGCCCATGCCAGACAAAAGATGTTGGGAGGGAAATTGCTGATTTTGTAAAGTTCCTTGAAAAAGACGGAGGCATTACAAGGGATCAGGTTCATCTGATTGGACACAGTCTTGGTGGTCAAACTGTCGGATATGCCGGAATGAATTTGCAAAATCCAAAGGTCGCTCGAGTCACAAGTAAGTCTCCTTTTTCCCCGGGGCCTTGTCCTCACAAAATGTCTTACAGTATGCTATCCGATCTGCCTTCCTTTACACACATACCCCTATAGATCTAGAAATGTAATATTCACAGATTCTACTTTTATTTTTTGACGATAATTGGTATTCTTTTTAATTACATACAAATATGTAAATCTTAGTAGCATGTACGCATTCATATCATGGGAGTTCAGCCAATAACCCATGTAGCCTTTTTCCCATGTTTTAGAAGGCTGTGAGAGCATTGAAATAATTTCATTTGAATTATCATACAGGCTTGGATCCGGCAGAATTTATGTATGATCTCTCAGATCTTGATGACACAATTGATCCCAGTGATGCTGAGTTCGTAGATGTGCTACATACGTCATGGGTGTCACGTGTTCCAAAGGGTCACGTGGATTTCTATCCAAATAATGGAGATACGGGTCACATGATGGCTGTCTATTATTACACTGACTCTATCAAAGCAAAGTGTAGATATACATCATATAAATGCACCAACTGGAAAGACTTTGAAGCAGGAAAGTAAGTATTCCCTGTGGTGTCACGATTGATGTCGTTTCAAGCGAACGTTATGAGACCTGGTTTGTGATCGGGGAGGGGCACACGGTGTAAAACGCCCTCCGATGAGTATATGATATATTCACGAGTGACTGCAGCTAGCGAGCGAATGAATTCCAGAAAATTAAAAAACGGATAAATCGAGGATAAAAGTAAAAGTGTTTTTTTTTACTTTCAGTGGAGCGATTTCGTTGATATTTTTTATGTAATTACATTAATTCTATCAGATATCATTCGTATTTGAAAATTCACCAATTGTAAACATATTGAAAAATTCTGTTGTAGTTGTTAATAGCTTACGTTTTGTTGTAGATGTGCTACAGATTGCAGCAACAACAGCTGTAATGAGATGGGACATTATGCTAGTCCAGATAAGGCCAGGGGACGAGTGTACATAAATGTTAAAGACGATGCCCCATATTGTCGATAATATGAAAATACGACTGTCTTTGATTCATACTAAATTCAAAGATTAAAGCATTATACTTGATATAATCAATACAGCATGTGTTATTTTTTCCAACGCGTCTTTTAGTTAATTCACAATCTCCGAGCATTTCATTTCGTTTAGTGCAAATTGGCTGCTTTAGAAATGCATTGAACGAACTGTCACGGGCTTAGAAAGGATCCAAAAATAAGCCAAGCAAATAAATCAGTCAGTTTGAATTAATTCGATTCCTTAGCTAATCCCCGTGAACTACTATGGACATTTTTTATTCATAACTAATCTATTTTAACAATTATATGGAAAATCCCATCTCAATCACGGGGTAATCGCCCAAATGGGCATTTCTGCTGCCGCTTAAAAAATCAAAATTGAAAGTCCATTTCCAATATAAGGGCAACTTAAACGAACCCCATACCTCATTAAACAGAAAACATGGAGAATTTATTTGATAAACAGGTGATTTTTTAAAAATATGATATGTATATTTATAGGCTAATAATTATCAATTTTGAAAAGGGCGAAATCATCCAAAATATGTATAAACAATGAGATCTTGACCCAAAAAAACGGACAATAGGCAACATGGGAGAAAATGAGAATAAAATAGCGAACAGGGTTTATTGACATTTTTTAATAATTTGATAATACATATTCATCTTTGCCATATGTATTTCTTCGAATCTATATCAAATGTAAATAAATCTATATTTAATGGAGTTATAATCGCCCTCGATTGTAACTAATAAAAGTAAAAATACTATTCATGGCCACGGTATATCGTGACAGGTGCGGTGCTCTTTTTTCTAAACATAAAACTAGTTTACATTCAATACGTTTTGAGTGCTTTATCTCGCTATTTATCATAGATCTCAGATAAGTAATTGAATTCGGTGATAAACTTTCTAAATGTAAGTCACCTAATTTGGTATCAAATCGTAATTATTGTGTGTCAACTATTGTCCTGGAGTATCCTTAAATTCAGGTAAAGAATAATTTGTTGAAAATTGTTAGTATTAATCTTGACAAAGACGTAGTGAGGATTAGTGCCACGCATGTACACTTTCTGGTAAGATTACTTTAATATGTAATATAAACGATAGGCTTACGTGTAGGTGTCTTATCGCATCATGTGTTAATTGAATTCATAATAATTGAACTTTAACTGAACTTGAAACTGAACCTGGAAATATATGTGCATTCCTTGTACTTGCTACTTATCTAAGTTTTTAAACACAAATAGATATAAGGTGGGTCAAAACGTTTTATATTGCTCTAACTTTTTTTATAATGCATGATGGATTTCAAAAATACGTTTAGTGCACTGAGAGAGTAAATTGACCAATAAGGAAATTCAAGATTACATAGACTTCTTCAACATTAAGAAAAACAGAACGGGAAATTATTACAGAGTATACAGAACACTTCACCCTATGTGTCTCTCTGACAGACTGAATAAGTTGTCAATCTGGGAGTACAATTTGAGACATGACTAGGCCTAATAAAAAGTAAAATTGTTACTCCGAAGAAGTATTTCTTAAATGTATATAATCGTCATAATAAAAATATAGACGGTTTGACCAATCCTGTTCAGTGACATGCGTTTGATTCTGCGGCTTGTCTAGTACTTTAATTCAATCTAGAATTGTCATTTTTCTTTTTTAAGGATTCATCTTAGAAGACAATTATGTGGCAATGATAGAACAGCAGTAATAGTAAATCTGCGAAAGCACCAAGCGCATAACCTCCAAACAAAAGGAACCAAAGTGCGCAGATAGAAAACACGCGCCTACAAACACTAAAATATTAAAGTAACTCAGAGCATCTTTAGCAAATAATATGCCAGGATTGTTGCGTTCACCTTTACCAAATCGGAAGCCCCTGACAATTGAGGAAATCCAGCAAACTTTTAACGACGTTATAGAGACCCAATCATGGTTAGTGCAACGTTATCAGAATCTCAGGAGCGACTTTGAATCTACTGATTGCGAACTCAGACAAATTCAAACACTTCTTGACGGAATGACAAGGAGATTGGGGAGCAGGATGAGCTCAATTGAATCTCTCAGACACGTGCGAACACCGTAACCTGAACATATAATTACACAGATCAATTCAAGTCACGCATTACATGATGCATTGGGACGACATTGCAGTAGACATATTCTTCTTCTTACCGTATATGCAAGGTAATACATGTATATTATAGATGGAAAGTGGACTAGAGTCTAATACTGTGATACATGGTGACGACACACATTTCATTTGAAAATACTTAATCATTCCCCATGCAGATACAATGAATGTCGGCTACGTAGGCCTAAAGGATCTGATGAAACTACAAAGGATTGGTATTAAACTCTAGCGGAGAACTTACACTTATAATTTATAAAGTATAGTACGATGTTGTTTTAATAAAATGACAATAGAAGAGTCGAAATAAAAGTACAAATTAAAGCGAATCTAATAAAAAATGTATCACTGTTATCAGAGACTGTTAGTCCCTGATTAAGTTTACTAGGCATAATTACCTCCTTAATTCTCGGTTTTTAATTTTGTAAATCATAAGAAGAGATATCCATTCGAGTTGAGGTTCATGTTTTATGTTTTATATCATTTAAAAAAGTTGTCTTTAGAAATGAGACAATGTTGATCTTATGTTTGGCCGTAAATTCCACTTTGATCAATCAAGTAGCAAAGTAGCCTCTCAACGTTGTCCTTAAATGTCAATAAACTATGTGTGATTTGTAATTTTGTAAAAGTTCTAATAAATGTTCAAGACATAATACATTATTATTTCAGTTTCATTTCTGTTTCATTTCTGTATCTCACCATTTTCTTATGAAGATGGAATTCACCAAATCTAATCACCACTTTAAAAGAGAATTAAAGAAGCAGAGGAACATGTCTTAAAAAATTGACAATTTTAAGATAATTTTGGGGTTATATTATTTGTCCAAGGTATTGAGTTGCATGCATTCGATTTACCCAAAACATGCGTACAGGTTCCCCGAATGCCATGTTTAATATTCCATTCTGATTTATCAGTCTCCCTTTATCTAAAGCTAGGGATAACACATTTTGCATTTTACAAGTGGATTCACATTGTGGTCAATGATTCTAAACATTTAGTATTACTACATCAATGGCATTCTGATACTCAGACCATCTCTGGCAATGCGTTCTAGAAAGGAAACTGAGAGAAGGCTGTGATATCTCACGATGCATCAATGGTTGTGTTCAGTTTTTACCTGGCGTAGGCTCAATAACATTTGTTACGGCGACCGTAGGGTTTATCATTTCAGGATGAGTAACATTTCTACGGTTGCCTTAAAATGTCCACGGTCAGATAATTAGCATACGCAGTAATTAGCCGTTTGGCGTATTTTGATTTCGAGGAGACATAAAAAACTACAGCCGTAAGTCGACCACACGTCCAAAATACGGTTTCCTTGGAACCTTTCGACGGTTTGTTGATTTCTACATTAACCACATGAATAAAAGTTTTAACTCCGAGTTATAATTTCTACTGTCGGCGATTCTACAGCCTGTAAGAAATGGATACGCCGCATGGAGACAATTAGCTCAAAAACGTGACATCTTTTCCTACCACTCTTCGTTGGTTGAATAAAGGTGTTGTTTCCAGAATATACAATAATTAATACATGCTGAATATACAAATTATAGTTTTACAGTCAAATATAATGTTAGAATTACGATTAGAGTCACAACACTACAATAAAAACAGTCCCAATACAAGGTGCAAGATTTTGTTTTTACACCGAATCGATAAGCTCCGTAAACAAGTGCACGACAGACTTAAGTCAACATCAAATGAGATCAATGGATTAAAGCAAGATTCAAAGGAATTAAGCTTGTAACTTGTGAGTTTAGCACATTAACGCATAAAGAGTCCAATGATTAACTTAACCATACGAACTAACATACAATACCTTTATTCGAATAATTGATCAGTTACCAGGAAACATTGATAGTATAGTATACAGTACCTGTGTACCTGTAATGAATTTGAAGACCAATATGGAGGAAAATGGCTAAAACAGAATATAAAGCTATAGTGGCTTATTAAAATGCTGATACACGATCATGCAAATGTTCTCGATGTGGACTCTTAACCATGAGGGTGCCACGTTTGGTGAATCGACAATCAAACACGGATTTTTTACAGACTCATGCCAGAACTGACAGGAAAAAACATGAAACCTGGCGATTGCAGAAGTTAGGGAAGCCGCCGGTTAAACTGGACAGTGCACAACTCCGAAAGAGACCGCACACTCGTAACGTTGATGACATAAATGTTGGTGATGTATCTAAGGACGGTACCAAAAAGGACATGGAAAATGATACATCGAATACAAATTTTGTTTCGAGATTTCCTGACGTCCGCCGAACAAACGAAATTCTCAAACAAATAATAAATTATAATAAACGTGACGATCAATTCCAAAGGTCCGACCGTTTACATGTGGAGGGGGTGTTCAGAAAACATATCCGAAGTGTGTTTAATGTCACACAATATAGGAAATCGCACACAGACCTATCTGTTTCTGAACCCTCGCTGACTACACGCTCCATAGAGCTCCCACACTCAATAACAGTCGGCTTGGCTCGGAAACAATTAAAATCCCAGCCCCAAACAGAGAGGACATCATTCCCGATGTTGGGCCGATCCTCGACTATGGTGAGAACCCCACATACACCCAGGAGTCAACGGACAGAGAGGACAACGCTGAATAGTAGAGAGACGTTACGACTTGAACCCATTATACATACAAATGACAAAAAACAAAAACCTGCCAAAAATTCAAAGCAAAACAGAGTACGGTTTTTAACAGTGGGAAACAATTCAGATGACACGCCAAAGGTTCAGCACCGTTTGAAATCTGTAAACCAACTTCCATTTGGATATACTTTTACGCCAGTTCCACCACAGACAAATGAAATGGAGAGTTCCTATGATATGAACGATCTACACATGTCCGGTTCTTGAGGCAGGATAGACATATAAATTAAAGATTGGATATTTTCTCGAAACTGCAATACTAAGCAATTTAATGAATTTTGATTGAATGTTGTTTTATTTGTTACACGACTAAACGTAAATATAAGAATATCATGTATTTACCAGAGCCCAAATGTTCCCAAATTTGAGAAAATTACTTTGCTTTATTTTTTCCTGAATTTGTTGTTAAAACCCCATGCGTATGTGGAGTGCTACCATTGCTAGGATTCAGTGAGTCAGTTATTAAACAAATATAAAATAAATAAATACCAATTATATTTATTAATGCACGTTTTATTGCACAATTTGATCAATGCACGGAAGTCCTATTAACATGCTCTTTAATGTACAGATATGACCACTTTTAATTATAAATTGGGAACCTCAAAACTGTTATTTTTATTCAAAGAGCCCAATTCTAAGTTAATATGTACAGGGTAGTTATATTAAATATATTCAACAATATATCTTCTGTCTCGTGACTCCATTTCTTTGATACATGGATGTATGTAGCCCAAAATTGCTATCTTCGTGATATTATTATATAGCGAGATCAATAGTGCAAGAAAACAGGCAAATAGTTCGTTCATGGAACGAAGCATGAAACTTTCCACATATCATCAGAATACCTTTCCCTTTGATTTAAGAGCCAGAGCCATTTTTGTGGTCAACTAGAATGATCAAAAAACAATAAGTACCCCCTCCCACCAAATCCCGTGGGGGTGGGGAGATATAGGAATATTTTTTTCATAAAAAATTTTCTTTGAATATGGTCATACCACAGTTTTAGTGTGCTATTTTCATGGTAAAGAAATTTTGCAAACATAACAAGATGATTTATCATCAATTTTCATCATTGTTAAAGACTAATCATGGGCGACGCCCACTTTTCATATCTTGAACATTTAGGTTATTAAATCTCTATCATAGGTTGAATAAATGAATGTAATTTAGCTTTCTGGATAAGACCAGATACTCTTTTGATGTTAGGTGCTATAATTAATCTTAGAATTTGACTTCTTAAAGGCTCATAACATATCACACCCCTGTTTAGAAGAAAGAAGAAAGCGAGCAACAAATGTCCCAGATCTACAACATGTATCCACTATTCTATGTACATGTATGTCGAGTCTCTATATTCTCCTGAAGAAAACCTATGCTACAGATACAACTGTCCAGAATCTAGATGATGAAGTGCTTAAACAGTTTGATGAATGGTGTGCTGACCAAGTGCCTAAACAGTTTTATGAATGGTGTGCTGACCAACAGAATGTACCAGTCTTCAGGCTTTGGTTTCTGATTATTTAAATTGAAATACTGTGCCTAGACTATGTGAGGGCTATAGGACAGGAGGAGAACTTTCCTCTTTATTTCCAGATGGTTTCTCTTTGATTTTCATAGTTGTTAAAGACTAGTCATGGGCGACACCCACTTTTCATATGCTGAACATTTAGGCTATTAAACCTCTTTTATGGGTTTGAACCAGAACCAGAAGGGCCGCCACACAGTCACAGCCTGCAGTCTCTAAATTCTCAAGAGAGCCTATACTACAAATACATCTGTCTAGAATCTAGATGATGAAGTGATAAAGAGTTTGATGAATGGTGTGCTGACCAACAGAATGTACCAGTCTTTAAGTTTTGGTTTCCGATTATTTGAATCGAAATACTGTGCCTTAACTAAGTGTGTGCTATCAGAGAGGGCAATTTCCCTCTTTATCTCTAGTCAATTAGCAAGCGTATCACCTGGTTTTTCGTTTTTTGACCTTGTCAATATGCTTGATGAGTACCAGTTCACATTAGGAATTTGCTACAACTATAACAAATACATCCAGAAGTCTACGAAGCCTTCACAAAAGGCCACTTCACTGTTACCAAGATGGAGCTTTTCAGCCATTGCTAGTGCTACTGACCAGGTTCACAAGCAGAATAACAGTCTAGATAAATCAAACGGTGGAGCAGTGTGGCTCTTTGACAACCAGACAACTCTATTGGATGGTTGGGGGCCCTGAATTTGTCAGACTGATCATGAATTTGAGAACAATATAAATAATGATCAAGATGAAGACCTATCTAATCATGAACAAAGTATAAGCATACAACAAAGATTCAAAGATAATGTGAAACTATTATCAGAAACCATAGAATAGATGGGAAATCCTTTCTGGAGACTTCAAATGACTTGTACTCATTAGACAACAAAGATATTGTATCCTCAATGTCAGTCCAGAAGAAGTGAGTAGTTCCCATAATACTATCACGTTCTTTCGTACTCATGAACATAATTTATTTAAATCACGCCCATCAGTATACGATGTAAAATCAAATTGCAGGACATGATTACGTGCACAATCATGAGCATGAGGTCTCTCAGGGCAGCACATGCGCAAAGTAAAATGGGAAATTGTGGAGATGGTGTTTATTTCAGTTTAACATCAGGTCAACATCATCATTTCTAAATGAAGGTAACACTATTTAAGTTAATCGATCCAAACTTGTAGAGAATAATCATAAATCAACATTCTGCTTGTGAACCTGGGTCATATTTGGGAAATGGAGCAAAGTGGCCAGGATCAGTACAAATTGTACACTAAAGAAAAACTGGATGACAAATCTAAACAAATAACAGACACTATCTATATAAAAAGAAACAATTTTCTAATATTTAAGGAACAGAAAACAAAAGTGAATGTTACCAAGGAAACAGCATTGAAAAAAAATGATTGTGCTCTCTTTTCAAGACTGTTCATTGCATGTCAGAATAGAGATAGTCATCTTGAGGAGTTCTTCAAACGTGAAAACCAGTCCTTCCCACCCTCTTTATCTCAAAATGGAACAATTAAAACAACTAATTAAGTGCCGAAAGGTAGATGAAATGTTACCATCAAATTGGAATTTATTAGAGATGATCTAAACAATGTATTGTAAGATGTATTATCATATCCCCCGATGCCCATTCAAGACATTTCCCCATCAACACATGAATAAGCACATCCACCGTGCAGTAAAGTCTGGGTAGAACACATTGATGATTAGAACAGTAGACTGATATTGTCTGTCTCACAGTCAGTATATCATCAGAACTCAAAGTTCAAAAATGGATAGCTTTGGGAAAAGTAAAAAATGAGAGATATCTCACATGAAATGGCAGCTGCACTTTGACATGGTAGGACTATGTGTCTCCCCTTATTTCATGCCCCCACAGGTTCAGACACTATATCCGGATTCCATGGTAAATTAAAAACAACAGCGGCTGAAGATCCCAATAAGTAAGCCAAAGTTATGCCAATCACTGAACGTTTTGTTGTGATTTTATACAACAGAGACAACAATGAAACAACTGTAAATGCTGCAAGACAAGAAATGTTCACAAAGAAAACAGCTCAAATTGAGAACATCCCACCATAAGTTGCATAAGTTCGGTCCAGACAATTATACCTATGTCAGTCCTCGCTTCACTCTCAAAATTGAGTTGGGAATCCATTACCACAAAGGCTGGAAAAATGATTTATGTGCCAGTATGGAAAACATTGCCCCAAGCTTCAGATGCATGCCAAATGCTAGTAAAATGTAGCTGCAAACAATAGTGCTCAACAAAAAGATGCAAGTGCTTTAAAGCCAATATTATGCATGTATTGCCCTGTATTTGTGTGACAGGGATTGTAATGGACATGGCACCTAAGTGAGTGATAATGATAATAGAGTGTTGAAGTGCTTAAATGCACAAAATAGGATATTTGAACTGCAGTTAAGATACTTAATGAGGTAACTTGTATCAATTAGTCAAAGTGCTCTCATTAAAAATTATGTATCATTAATTGTGAATTATATATTATTATATCTTTATATCTAAAAGGGGTGTGGCCTTTCACAAGCCTTTAACAGTGAAATTGACTTACTTACAGCATCTATTATCTTAACATAAGTAATCTTGTCAGATTTATTCAGCCATATTAGGTAATTTTCCTATTCATAATAGAAGACACATTAACTTGTATATTTAACATGTTGATAAAGTGGGCGTCGCCCTTGGTCAGGCTTTAACAATGAATATCAATGAGAAATACTGATGCAATCTTGAAAATTGTTTTTAAACACTGAAAATAACATACTAAAAATGAATATAGATCATATTCAAAAAAAAAATCAACAAAAAAATAATTCTTCCCTCCCCCTCCCCCAAGGATTTGATGGGAGGGGGTATTTGCAATTTTTCGGTCATTCTAATGAACTACAAAAATGGGTCTGGCTCTTAAATCAAAGGGAATGGTATTCTGATGATATGTGGAAAGTTTCACGCTTCGTTCCATGAATGAACTATTTTTGCACTATTGATCTCGCTAATATAGGGCCTGTTAAAGATGCACATATTCTGACATATGCATGTTAAAATAAATAGGTTTTTCATTTACATACAATTTGCTACATGTAAGTGCATGTGAAATAAACAGATGCATACGTATCTGACACAATGTCACTGTAGCTCTACTTGTTGATGTAGTATCTCAGCTATATCAAAAGGCCTCTGATGGAACAGATACAATTCCATAAATATTGGTGTATGAATATTTTTTCCATAATCCATCAATTGATCTTTGGAGAAATGTTCCATTTTATAAATGAGACTGGAAGCTTAGTTGACATCCTTAAAAGCATACTGGACAGTCTATGACACACGATCCAAGCAAGCTTTGGTTTCAATGCTTTTATAGATCCAAGCAAGGTGAATAGTTGATGAGGCTGATGACATCTAATCTCATAAATGGGGTCTAAAAATGTTTTAATCTTGCCCCACCCCTAGACTGTTGTGGTTGACTTAACTGTACAACTTGGGATACTTCATCAAAAAAACTGAAAAAACAGAATATGTTGTTTGTCATTATTTATGCAGTAAACTTACTAGTATATATAATGAACAAAAAATTATTTTCATTTGAAACATCTGTTATACCTGATCTTATTAACTTTAATTATTTTGTAAAATCAAACTTTGGAAATGTACCTTTTTGTGTTATGTATAGAAGTGGATCCGAGAACAACCCTCACCCCTGGCGTCTCTCTGTTTAATTTGTGGATTGCATACGCTTCCTCATAGGTTGTGCCTCCAATTATAAACACTACAATGTCTTGTGGTCTGAAATAATAAGCATGTGTTCATGAATTGTACTATTAATCAAAACAAGGCATTAACATACACAATGTCGCAACATGCCATTTGTTACAGATGCCAAACGCCAACCACTGAACACCGTCCATAAGAAAGTGAGACAATAATAACAAAATGTCACAACTTGTGGTGGTGACATAGAAATGGCCCCATATGGTGTTTCATGTGGTAGATTTCTCCAAAGCTAGAGTAAGTGGGCTGAGACTGATGCCATAAAACACTAACGTGGACACCAATAAAATGAAGATGAGCATTGCTGACAGATGAACTGATTGGTGGACTTTCACTGAGACAAATGGATGAACTGACAGACATACAGAATGACAGACATACGAGTGACAGATTTAAAAAACCGTTGATGATACATTATAATGACTCTGAAAGAGAGAAATGATTGACTAAGACAAGTATGCATGTGTAGTCAGTGAAGCAGAAACTTTTGTTCACTAATATTCAACTTCATTTTATCAATAAAGGACAGACAGCATCTCCTCATAAGGTGCACATAAGCTGAAACTTCTAACCTGTCCTTCAGTTGACTAGTGCCCAGGTATGGATAACTGGCTTCTCTTAGCTTCCCTTTGATTATATCATCCAGTAGTTCTATCACATATGGCTTGTGTTGTGTGTACACATTCTCAACACCCTAATAGATAATATAAAATAACAATAATTGACAAGTTAGAAACAGCAAAAATCTGTATACATGAATTAACATCATTGCCACTTGGCTATGCTAAAGCTTGAGAAAATGTTAATGGTTTTCTGCCTCATGTAGGGGACTAAGTATCGATTCCTGTTTTTAATATCAAACACTGTGTTTTACATGCCTTGGTTGACTCTTCAACTTTTGGCAGAATTGACAATTCTACTGGATTAGAATCCAGTATGATACTTACTGTAACATACGCTTTTTTACAAGAAAATTCAAAGTAAGGAGATCTTGTTTTCTAACTGCTAATAGTTAAAAAGCTATAAAAGTGGATGTATTAATCTGTAAATGACAGATTAAAGATCCCTTTACATCACTTAATTTTTGTATCACCTGGAAGTTAAAAGCTAAGTTGTACCTTTAAACCCTTGAAGAATTTCTTAGTAAATGCTATTGGGTTTTCTGTACCAAACAGATCACTACTCCGAACTTTCTGGCCGCCATATTCCAACAATGAATGGACCATCTAAAAAATTAAGGGCAATTTTGAAAATGGGGAAATTAGTTCGATATACAATTTGAAACTACAACACTGAAAGCAGACAAGTCGTATGAAACAACAGATAAAAATATTGATTGGAAATTGTCATTTTAGTTACAAAAACCATCAAAATAACAAGCAATTTAAGTAAAAACAAATTACCTGTTGCTAATGAAACACCTGAAGGTGGTTTAATGAAACCTGAGGGTGGTTTAGTACTAATGATCCTTAAGTATACTGTATTGATTATTTTATGTAACAGAAGTGCCATGTTCCATAGAGTTGTCAATTATAAACTTGTTAAAGTGCAGTTGTCAAAAAGGTTTAAATGCCTACCCGTCTGTAGCGTTCATTCACACCCTTTTTAGCAAGAGCATTTAATAGTCCGGATACATCATTATTACTATGCCTCTCATAACGTAATGCATACAACATCACCAGTCTTGCTTTGTCTAGATCACTCACTTTGTCATTGGCTAGAACAGATTTTATTTTCTGAAACAAAAAACAAACAAAATGATTTACCATCAAGAAAGTAATAATTATCCTGGTTTTGTAAAGCTATACAAGACATTAGCATGCAAAATATCATCACTTGCCATTTGTTACAGATGGCAACCATCCACCTCAAAACACTGTCGACAAAAAGGTCCGAGACTATAACAATATGTCAGCTTTCTAAAGATGACACAAAAACCAGTGCTATACTTGAGCTGGGGTTATATAAATAGTGTACAAATCATCACCTAGGGTCAGGTGATATATCTTAATGTTTGAGGACAACCCACCCTTAAGTTTTCAAATATCAGTTTAACCAGACTATTTTTGATAATAAGTTAAATAAATTGATGTGTAAACAGGCATTGCCAAATTTACCTGTAATGAGTTGGAATGATCATTCTGACAGGCAAGTTCTTGTTCAACCTCAGACACTTCCAGTATACACTTGGACCCCACCAATCTTGAGAGCTCCCCTACTACTGTCACATGCTTGGCTACAGTTCCTGACATCTTCTTGAACTGAGGGTAATTCTCAACAAATGCCTATATACAAAAACATATGGTATATCAATTTAAAGGTTCAATTAGAACTGCACAGTTGGTCCCTTTTACATGCTTGGCTACAGTTCTGTGTCATTTTTTTTTTTATTAAGGCTCGGGACTTAATTATTCGGCATATAGAATTAAATTGTTACCTCACTAATGTTAGCTATGTAAAGGGAATGTATTTGAAAATAATTTGCGTTGAGGGTAATCTCAAAATTGTCACCCTGAACTAATTGTAATTCCATTGATTGCTTTAGCAAAGAGCTGCTTCATGGAGAAAATTTAAAACAATAAAAGCACAAACCTTCATATCTGCAATAGATTCAACTTTGGAAGTGCTTTTTGATTTTTTCTGGAATTCTTCCATTAGATCTTTAATGTTAGAGCCAATTTCACCAAAATTCATATATAAGTTCTGGAATGAGAAAAATATATTCATATTATAATGTTGCTGGTCAGATTTATTGTTTATTTTTACACAAAATGAAACTACTATATGTGGGGTGTTGTGGCCAAATATGAACAATATTCATAAAATATTAAGATTTTTAGAGCAAATGGTTCAGAACTTTTGGATCAACCCTCGTACATTTAAAATTAATATGATAATATCATATAAAAGTTTTTATTTGAAGTGTTCGAAATTGTGGAATAAACCAAACTCACATTAGCGTAGAACTCGTCATGTTCTGAGGATAAAACAACTTCCTGTAGATCTTTAGTTATGCCAGGAACATTTGACAGGTCCACCCTGTTATTATTTATGCCCAATAACTCATGCACCATGGCCTGGTATGTCCACTATATACACAACATAAAATTTCATTTTAAAAACAGTAAATTAGATATCTTAAAAAGCTGCAAGTCTCAATATGGGTTTAATTTCCTTGAACAAATATGTCAAATTAAGGTTTCAATCTATGAGTCTACATAATTATTAAATTAATAGAACATACATGTACATGTATTTCAGATTTATAAGCAATGTCCACTATCTATGCAATAGTAAATTAATAACAACAAAATCAGGAACTTTTAAATGCATTCAGTGAAATGAAGTAAATACCTGATTAAGCAGTGGAGTAACTGGGTCATCTCTCCTGTCCAACACTAGACATACAGGAGGAACATCAGTCTGGCGGAAGTCAAATAAGGCTGCTTCTTTGGAGATCTGTTGCTGAAAAAATGAAATTATTGCTCTCAAATTTGGCATAATACAGACCATAAAGTATATCTTAACAGGTACCTTTAAAATGTAAACCATTAAAATCGAAGTTGCAGGTTTTGTTCTGCTCAGATGGCCATACATTTAAAAGTATCAAAATGCAAGATGGAGAAATAATTCTTTTTACCATTAAGTTGAACACATAAAATGTGGTAAAATACAATATACAGGGTGGGCCAATAAATTTTTCTATTTAATAATTTTAATAAATTCTATTTATTCAATTTTCTTTATGATTGCAGTTCAATCCACAAAAGTTCAGATGATTATTTGTAAATATGTTAAAAATTAAAAATAAAAATGTGTATGTATACTTATTTTTGCCTTGTCATGGTCATGAACAGTATTCTGCGTGTGTCATGAAATATTTCCAAATTTCTCATACCATACAATAAGTGCCCTTCAAATGGAATTCCCATCAATTAAAACATAATTATGTAGTTATCTCTAGGAGAAACTACATATGTCTCCCTTTGATAATATAGCTTAAATGATCTCAGCTTTTTTTCAAAAATGCCACAATATGTCCCAAAAACATTCAAAACATTATTTAAGCCATGTGTAACTGTCAAATACAGCTCAGACTGATTGTTCAGGTGGGTGGAGAACATGTTAAGGACACGCTTGCATTGAGTTATTAAATACTGAGCTTGTTTATTCATATTTACACAAGCTGTTGCTACTCTTATTGTGGAGCCCTTGATATTCTAACTTACCCGTAGATTTTCTGCTAATCTTTTTGCTGGTTCTGAAGAATTCTGGTAACGAATCATGGGACATTTCTTTAAGGAAAGCATTACAGCTGACAAACCCTGAACTGATCGTTGTAAAGCTGTGCTCTGCCATGTTCTTCCCTATATGAACATGTCACATGAAACATTATAATCAGATAATAAGGAAAGGACAGATGTTTCATGGAAATTCTTTGACTTATGTTAAGATATATTGTTTCTCTTTATACTATCATGGAAAACTCATATAACTGTGTATCAAATACCCTGAAGTGACTATGGAATGATAGCACAAGGATTCTGTATTCATCCTTTTCAAATGATTTATAAAATGTAGTGCAAGTATTTGGTGAAATTAACTAGACAGTGGAATTTTCTGGAGTCTGTGACCAGAGAAAAACTTGTTTCAAGAAAGTTTATTTTTAAAATTAGTTTGTTGTTTTGCTAGTTTGAATAGCACATCACAGAAAACAAAACTATTATATAAAAATTCTTCAAATTTAGTTTAAGGAGGCAATAAGAGTATAACAAAATTTCATTTGTCACAACTACTGACATCTAATTACAATCCTCAGATTCTACATTTTACTAATTACCTGACAACATCCAAATATATTGAGGGAGAAAAGATGTGGACTGACTGCTATGTAGTCTCCATAAAACTCCTGTAACAAAAATCATGAACTAGCTTTAATAAACATGTAAAGGGTAACCTGAAATGATTTATCTTGGTAATGAAACTTATAAGTCTTATTCAATTTGGTTGGTGAATTGGTGAATTTCTCCAATACAATTCATTAGAAATTAGCTACAATTACAATTAATTCTGCCTTTTTAATAAATACATTCTAGCTAAAAGCCAGAATCAATTTCAATCATGATGTAAGAGTCTTGACATGATTTAACATTTTCCAAAATCATACCTGCACTTCTCTGACAACTTCCTGATCATCAGCCTCTGCTAGAACTTTAACGTCTTGTTTACTTATCACATTACTGAAATCTGAAAAAATATGATAAGAAAAATAAATGAAGTTTTTTTAAGTTAAATATACCTGTATGCATTAAACATATTTGGAATTGAATTATTGAATATATATACAGTAAGACCTCTGTAAATGGAACACCTTTTGTTCTGCCAACAAAATGTTCTTTGCCAGGTACTTTGGTTAGTAATGTAGTTTCATATTTACCCACAAAAATAGTAAAGTCCATTCTTTGCTTAGTAATGTAGTTTCATATTTACTCACAGACATAGTTAAGCCCATACTTTGGTTAGTAATGTAGTTTCATATTTACTCACAGACATAGTAAAGTCCATACTTTGGCTGATGAAGCTCTGCAGCCATTAGCTCAACATTTTCTCTCGTAGGCCTTAGGAACGTTATACACTTTAAATGTTTCATTGTTTCCCTAGCGGGTGAATCAATTCTCTCAAATAGATACACTTCTTTTTGTAGGATCTCTGACTGGGCATATACCATGCTAACAATACTGGTCTGGAAAATAAAGAACATAAAGATGTGTAAGTACAGGGTGAGACAAAAAGGATAACCCCAAACTTAATAACTTGTCATTCAGCATGGGTTTGAAGTTCTTGCCAAAGTTTAAACTTGCTCAGTGTTCTCTCATTCTACTAAGTTTCATTGGTGTAACTAAACTTGTAATAAAATGCCGGTATCCAGTCAGGAGGCAAACTCGAAGGTTTTGGGCTACACAAGCACAGACATCTTGTGTGATGGCTCACATCTTCCTTCTTATAATAACTTGTTCCAATATTTCAAGGGTTGTTAGTGTAGGCATAAGAACAAAAGATGACACACACATGACGTGACGCAGATCACACCATCGAAAAACCTTCAAAATGGCCACTAGAAAACAATATGACTTCCCAAAAGTTCATCAGCTCTAAAACTTGATATCATTTATCATGTGTGCAAATTTGGAGAAAATTCAATGAGCAATTTTCCTGAAATCATAATGACAAGTATTATTGAAAAACATTCAATACAGCCACCAGAAAACAAGATGGTCACACAAAAGTCAAGCAGCTCTAGAACTTGATATCCAGTATCATGTGTGCGGATTTTGAGAAAATCCGATGAGCAGTTTTCCTGAAATAGGGATGACAAAATTTATCGAAAAACCTTCAAAATGGCCATCAGAAAAATAGATGGTCACCCAAAAGTTCAGCTCTAGAACTTGATATCCTTTAACATGTGCACAAATTTGGAGAAAATGAGTAGTTTTCCTGAAATGAAGATGACACGATTTATTGAAAAACTTTCAAAATGGCCACCAGAAAACAATATGGCTGCCCAAAAGTTAATCAGCTCCAGAACTTGATATCTTTATCATGTGTGCGAATTTGGCTTATAGTCTGAATATATTCAGACTAAATAGACTATAGTCTAGGATATAGTCTAGAACATTGGGATTTGAGACTTCATACTTTATTTATTCTATTTCATACTCTATTTACTCTCAACTACTAATGTATGGTCACTTGTCAATGAGAATTCTCTTCTTTTTAAACATGGGAAATTCTCACTTCAGCAAATCCAGTTGTCATTTATCTATGGTGAGCACTGTAAATGTGCATGAAACAACAACTAGGAACATGGAATTCATATGGCATGTCCATAAGTAAGGAAAAGTATTATTGATTTTATAGAAAATGTACTGCATGCATGGATAATGGGAAGTTCTCCATATAACATACTGAATACTCCAGGTTTGGCATCAAGAATCAGAAAGAAACTGACATTACAACTCAACTGTGTTTTGAAATTTTTAGTAATGGAATAATATAAGACCAACTCTTGCGATTTAAAATTTGAAGCAGGAAAATATTCAAAATGGCCGCAGTTTGAATTTGTAATTATTACATCCTTTAGATCGACCTATTCACTCACGATAGGCAGCGAGTTCATTATTTGACCGATAAAGCCAGTTTGAGATGAGAAAAAATCATATTTTTCCTGTTATGTTCATGTTTTAGGCGTGCTAAAAGAATAATTTAAGGCCAGAGAGGGCGCATGTACGGAATTTTGCTGCATTCCTCAATTGAATCACATGTTATTTTTCAAACAGGAATCACTCCTTACCCACATTGTCTACATCTTGAAGTTTTGCACAAAGAGCGCACTAATTTGCCTAGAAAAGACTGGTGAGAAAATTTGTAAAATGTATAAAAACGAGAAAATTCAGTCAAAAGTTTTCTGAATTTTTGCACTGAATTTTTTTTGAATGTTTATTTATAGCCTACATTTTATCAAAACATTCTTCTTTAATTTCTTTTCTAGGTACATTAGTTCACTCATGCAAAAGTGAGAGATGTAGCCATTGTGGAGAAAGAGTGATTCACAGACTTGAGTCAATGTTTCTTTCAAAACTTACTGCCATATAATTTTACCAGGATTGGAAGCAAGCAGCCAGCATTTTGGCAGGTCATGTAATAACCTCCTCAAAAACAGGTATCATCGGTTAAATCCTTGGATAACGTGTGCTTGTGATAGATCACATGATCATATCGTGTTATTTGATTGGTCATTCATTGTATAACCTGATGTACATAATTCTGAAAACGTCATCCGCCTTGTATCCGCCTTATACAAATATTTTTGCTTCTAGTAAAGATGAATATCTCTTCAACATATTTACCAATTTTCATGGTGAACATTCTTGTAATAATCAAGAAATTTATGTGCACAAAATATTGATGAGATTTCCATGCGAAGGATATCAATCATAACAGACTGTAGTTCAACGACGTTAATCTCAATAACGACGTTCTTTACTATTTGGAATTTTCTTGGCCATTATTGAGTTTAACCTCCTTACTATTCTTTCCTTTGATGCAAGTTCTGGATCCATCGAAACCATTTTTCCGCAATAACATGCAACTGATACTTGACAATAGTATAAAAACACATAACATCAATCGATTCAACACAATATTATTGTATTAAATGTTCATTTATACTAGTAAAATGAGGTTAAACTTACCAATCTCTAAAATGACATTTCCGCATGTTCATCATTGTGTCTGTTTGTCCCGGGTTAAAATTTAAGCTATTAGCGAAACGAAATTGTTGTCAAATAGATTGATAACTATTATTATATATTATTGATAACTATTGATAGCTATTAATTTCTGATACGAAATTATGCATCAATAGGGTCTAAGGGGGATACGGGATGGTGTGTATATATTCATAAGGATGTATGCATGCTTGAATTCACATTCGAAACCTGCGGAACGATAAATTAACGCATCAAGGGAAAAATGATCATGGAGGTTAGACATAGCCTTGTAATTTTTGGAGTTTTCAGCCATGTTAATTTTTCCGAAAATAACATGGCAGAGAAGTATCAAAATATATGAGGACACAGATATGATAGCTAAACTACAAAACAAACTAAAATATACAAAAGTTAGGATAAATATAAATGTTTCTATTTTTTCATAAACTGTTTCAATATGGTCATTTGATTGCTTATTTTTTAAATTCAAAGTAGTCACAAACATTACTGTTTTGACTATACTGACCTTACCCTATTATTCTTTTTCAATCTTCTTTCCGCAATTATAGTTTAACCTATAAATAACATGGCGGTGGAGGGGGCTTGCGTGCTTTTGCAAGTCACATAGACAACGTGAAAAATGCAGAATTTATTGGGATAACTCCACAGATGGCGCTAGTGAAAAGGTAGAAGACAAAAAATCTAAATTTAAAATCGGGATGATGGTTGATTGAAATCAATATTTATCAGTGCAATCACCGAAAATGTACAGATTTTATATTTTATTTTGTTTATCTCGTGTATATATAATTTAACAAAAAGTATGGCGAAATGATTCGGTTCACTTCAAATATTTGACTTTTTGTGACGGTGGTCTTGAGTTTGAAATCTATTGAAAATTGTTTAAAATTCGGATAGATGGCGGAAAAAGCAGTCATATCTTTTTTTCTCAATGGGTGTTCTATGCAATTTTTGTTTTGATTTGAAAGGGGACATATGGAGCTATCCCGTGGTATATGGGGTTATGTACCGAAAATCCTCGTTTTTTCATAATCAATCCAAAGATTTCAATATTTTCACATTGGATTACATTACAGCATTTATCTGTGGAATTGTCCCATTATTGACCGAGGCGACAAATTCGCCCTTATGAAAAATCTTTCTTACCGTTTCTTTATCCATTAAAAGAACTTTCATCCCTGGTCCACTTTCCTCAATCATCTTTGAGATATATTGCTTCACTGCAAGTATTACATTCATCTTGATTTTATGTATTTTACCTTGGATATGTAAAAATGTTCAAGAAAAACAATTTGACAAAATAGTTTCCGCCATGTCAGTTCTCTCGTGATCTCGAGTTTTCCACTAAACGAAACGTACATATACAAACAATCAAAATCCCGGGAAAACCCCGTTTCTTTTGTTTATTCAGATTAAATCTTACAGATCAGCATCTATATTAGCCCATATGTACATCTGGGAATACTAAACTATATATCATACTCAGACATCTTCTAGATCTGCAGTACCCATGGACGTATATCTATCGCAAATAGGCCCACTGGGCGTTTATTTTGGGGGCGTTTAAGAACTCAAAATAAACCCCCATGGGAAAACTATTTTCCAATTTCAAGGGGATGGGCGTTAAAATTAGAGGAAAATAGCTTTTCAAAGCCAATGGGTGTTTATTTTGAAGGATGCTATCGATCGTAAAATTGACACTCCTTCATATATAGCTCACGCAATGGCCATGAACACGGGCATGAGCTTTTCCTCTTTTCGGGTCGCCACTTATATAGGCCTAGTATACATATTTGTCTGTTTTTCCCGGGCTGTTTTTTACTAATAGCAATTTTCGAATGTTTTCGCCCACTGGGCATACAGAGAAAAAACTTTTCCAGACAGTTCTCTTTTAAATAAACGCCCATGGGCCCATTTGCGAGAATTCTTATGCCCTAAACATAACTGGTATATGATTGTAGATTAGGGCTCTGAGGGCTTTAGAATTTGTAAGTTGGACTGCCTGATCATATGGTCCTCATAATATTATATTACACTGTGATACAAACAGGACTGTTGACTGGAGGATGTAATATGGGACAATTCCACAGATAAATGCTGTAATGTAATCCAATGTGAAAATATTGAAATCTTTGGATTGATTATGAAAAAACGAGGATTTTCGGTACATAACCCCATATACCACGGGATAGGTCCATATGTCCCCTTTCAAATCAAAACAAAAATTGCATAGAACACCCATGGAGAAAAAAAGATATGACTGCTTTTTCCGCTATCTATCCGAATTTTAAACAATTTTCAATAGATTTCAAACTCAAGACCACCGTCACAAAAAGTCAAATATTTGAAGTGAACCGAATCATTTCGCCATACTTTTTGTAAAATTATATACACACGAGATAAACAAAATAAAATATAAAATCTGTACATTTTCACTGGTGATTGCACCGATAAATATTGATTTCAATCAACCATCATCCCGATTTTAAATTTAGATTTTTTGTCTTTTCACTAGCGCCATCTGTGGAGTTATCCCTATGTGACTAGCTTGAGATCCAAAACTTGTTGATAACAGCCACGATCAAATTTCTCATCCTAGATAAGAGGTACCATACAGCTGCATATCATTTTTATTAACAACAGGTTCATTTAAATAAGCTGCGTGTTTTTTCTACATACAACATCAAACATGCCTTTTCTTTGCAAGCGAGTCGCCATTAAGTGACGAGACTGGTCCTTCGCCTGCCTAAATTCTGAGATCGAATAATATTCTCACTCTATGCTCTGCGGGTCACGTCTTCAACTCTGATTGTATCTAATTAAATTAAAGAGCTAATTTCCGACTTTCTGTCAGTCTGTAGACTCCCATAATAGTTCTACTTAGCAGAAGTTTTGGTTGAGGAATCAACACAATTTTGACGGCGCCAATATACGCTTGTAAAAAATGGTCCTTTAATCGCCAAAATTTCTTTCAGTCCATGGAAACTGAAAGGAACTTAGCTGGGGATATTGATGTAATGTAAACCAAAACAACCCAATACGAATAAGGTGTGTATTAATGATTAACTTTCCTGTTATCTCAAAATTTGCTTGGAACTATACCATTGAATTACTATGGGAAATTCCCCAAAGAGAAATTTCTCGCGGCCATGGGGGGGGGCAAAAATTCTTTCTAAAATCGTGCAGTTTTTCAGGATTCTGAGCATATTTCATGGGCCTTTATCAAAGTGAACCCCCCTGGAATTTTTCTGAAAAGTGACCCTCCCCCCTCCCCCCCCCCCCTTGGCTAAAGCTGGCTATGGGCCTGGCATATGAACCCAGGTATGTAGCCTGACCTTGTAATCCAATTTAGAGAATGTGAAATCATTTTTTCGTGTGAGGAAACCAATAACCAACGACACACACTTACTATTGGTGTCGATCGTACTATCAGATGAGCGATTCGTGTATTTAAAAAGACAAAAAAGGTGGTATATATCCAAAGTGTGATATATTTATACCATGATAAACCATACATTTAATACATTTCTAATTTCATCTCAGAGTGATGGCGCAATAGATATCCTTTTTGTGTCAAACAACAAACTAAATCTTACATTATTTGACATAAAAGCCGTGTCATGAAAATTGAAATTGAAGTCAATTTGACCTTTTCTGGATATTAAGACACGAAATGATTTCAAGCAATAAGTTGGTTCAGATATGATGCATCACCACCTTTTATAATGTTTATAGACATCTCATTGGTTTGCTGTCACAAATAACAATTCGAACCAAACTTTTCCAATATTAATGACGTTTATTGTGTCTAACAAGTTGTTCTAGCACATCGGGTTTTCCACTTCACTGAAATTACAGACATGAAATAATAAAAGGGATGTAAACCTATGGCTATCATTAATTAATTAATTACTTTATCTTCATTTTTACATGATTTGATAACATTGGGTAAGACTACATTACCCAACGTGGTTAAAACGTTACATAGGACCTTTAAATCTAACTTGCATTTTGATATTTGTGCATTAGTTGTTATGTTCAGTGTTCTTTTGTTTGGCAAGTTGTTTCTTCATTTCTCGGTTTGCCTTTCTTTGTTCCTCTGTCTTTCGACCATTTGTGGCAGTCCTATTTTCTTTTTTCAAAGCAATATTCGCCTTCCTTTCTTCTTCCGTCTTACGGTATCGCTTACTTGTACCTAGGAGGATAAAATGATAATCTAGAGTACTAAATAATCAAAATTGTGGCACAATCCTCGTAACTCGACTGTTGCTTTAGCAAAAAATACTGTAATTACTTTATCAGGAGATCTCGTATGGCCTTTGCAGTACAAGAAGTTAAGGAGAAACGAAATATAAAATCTCGCCCTCGGTATTCATTTTTCATGAATGACTATGAAATTCACATACCGTCTTTGCCATAACTATCATCCTCTGAGTTATCATCGCGGCCACTCACTTCCATATCATTATCAACATCATCATTAGCCTCATCATTATCAACACCAGCAGGGACAGCATCATTATATTGAACTGCAGGAATGCCTTTGCCTGACATGCTTTTGTCTTCTAAAGCTAAAACACGTAACAATCTTAAGAGCCCGGACTTAAGAGCTGCAACGTATGGATCATCATACCTTGCACGGGGGCTAGAATCTATAATACTCAAGTTATTTTTGGATTTAACAGGTAGAGTCATTATATATTTTCTCCCAAATAAAACCTCAAGTTTTTTTGTAAGCAAAAATGTTTCATTTGTCGTATACGTTATTAAAATATAGGATGTCCAGAAAATCTGTGCAGAGTGTTTTTTATTATTTATTCATTCATTGTACATTTATTTAGGATACAACAATACATGTGTAAGTGGCTAAGAAGCATTATCAGCCAACATATGTAGAGTGTATATTTAGCGACTATATGGACGCCCTGTATATCGAACCGAAAATTGCATTTGGTAAATACAAAGTGGACATGCATAATATGCAATCCTTACAAATGCGAAGTGAAGCAAGAGGAATACACCTTAGTACTGTACATGTACAAAACAAAACCTACCATCTATCATTTTAGGCTTGCAGAAATCGCTAAATCTTAGACAGGTCTCGTCAAGACAATGCCCATCCCTTATGGCATAGTAAGGATATATATCGACATCCTGTGGAAAAGAAAATATTGATACTAGCAAATTCGAAGGTAAATAATAGTTATCAGATAGTTGACCCTTCAAAAACGGACGAAACGGAAGTCCATTTCTGCTGTTCTCACGGGGTACCAACTACTAACTTTACTTTTCGACCTTCCAGGTGTTCAAGGACTGTGAGTCTCATACTGCACCGTTTTTCTTCAACCTTGTTCCATTTAAAGGAAAACAAAAATGCCTTTCTGCCGGTACATTACTTTATTGTACATATTGTACAGAGTCACTCGTTTTAGTGGCGTTTTGGTCCCCAGCTGTGAGAAGCGCTTCTGTATACCAGTAGAATGTACAGTACCAACAGAAATGCATTTTTGATTCGCTCTTAATTTTTTTTAATTTGTTTGATTCAAGAAAATATACTTTTTATTTTTTGGTGACACTCACACCTACTCTGAGCCACATTCTCAGAAGTACGCATTTATTCAAATAATCAATCGCTATATAGACCATGACCATTAGGTTCATGGTCATGTAAATAATGACAATTATGATCATGGTCGTGTAAATAATAGAAAGAACATATTTTTAGGTTATCACATAGTCGGATTAATTAATTCACGAGGACTGCATTTGATTGAAGGAAAACAAATTGTTTTAATGAAAGTTGTTTTAATGGTAAAAAACTGGTTAAAGATATGACTGCCTGAAATCATGAGCCGTACAATACGTGTGATTCTTTAGTTCTGAATATTGAATACTGTGATGCTGCTTTCCATTCAAAAAATGACTTACCTGGTTTGGAATGCGAAATTTGTAATCGCAACCGCAGCAAAGTGGAATATTTTTACGTGGATTCACGCATCGAGTCTTGAACTTGGTACATTTCATACCAAGATTGACGGCATCGACGACTCCTGTCAGGCAGAACACACCTGAAACTTATAAATTTATGATTAAAGGCGTTTGATTAACGAGTGCATTTAATCAGTTTATACTTATAATGGTACAAGCAACTTAACACCTGAAAGTACATAATGGTGCAGGTTAATGCTCATGATCCCTCTCCCAATGTAATGACAAAACAAGGCGTGTGCGGTAGGTTAGATGGCAGAAGCTTGTCTGTTAGACTGGTCATCGCCGGGAGGGGTGTGAGTGTGGACACCGCGAACCCGGGGTTACAATGCATGGTCAGTCTAAGACGCTTATCACAAATTAAAAAAATAAAATTGATGTACCTGAAAGCACTATGAACATGTGGCATAGGCGTCTAAAACAATGAATATACTATTTCTACCAACCCAAGTAAATTTTTAATCTATATTCCTCAAAAAAAGTTAAGGACCAGTGGTTTTCCTCATAGGTTTACATGCTAACCCCCATATTTGTTTGAACGACTATTTTCTAAGCGTGGAACAAAAGGAATCCAAATAAAGAAAATAAATCTGTATTTTGATTCTATTCCCTATAAAGTCCGCAACATTTCAATGATTACATTGGGTCAAAATTTATGTCAAAATTGAGAAATTTCATGAAATTTAACAAAGATGGCAGATCCCATGTTAAACAAATGGGGAAATGGTCATCATGATAATCCATGACATCTCATTTCTTCTCAGCCCTGAGGTGAAACAGAAAGATGCTATGAGTATCAGAATGGGAAATGGTTGGGTTGCCATAAGTCATATGAGGAACGATCCATCCATGTGATTGCTCTCAAAATTGAAATTGTAAGAGATAATCAAATTTGCTAAATTATCCACAAAAATAAAATATGAATCAGAATTAATTGTCCAGGCTTTACAAAAGTTAATGGTTTCAAATTCAGTAATTTTTAATGAACCTCTTATTGAAATAACACAGGTGGTTCAGTGAGCTGGTCAAAATTACTTTAACGCTCCGTATCGCTAATTTTAACAACATAAGCGAGACATTTAGCATGTAAAATGTAAAATCATTAAATTTTCTACTTAGAAAGTATTTTTAATAAATGTTTTGCTGAATAGATATTCCAAAATCTAAGTTGCCCCTAAGCCACCATTCCCCATTCGTTTAACATGGGATCTGCCATTTTTGCTACATTTCATGAAATTCATCAATTTTGATATCAAATTTTGACCCAATGTAATGAAGATATAACATTGAAACGTTGCGGACTTTATAGGGAATAGAATCAAGATGCAGATTTATTTACTTTATTGGGATTTATTTTGTTCCCCGCTTTGAAAATAGTCGTTCAAACAAATATGGGGTTTAACATGTAAACCTATGAGAAAAACCACTGGTTCTTAACTTTTTTTTGAGGAGTATAATTAAAAAAGCTCTAAGAACAGTTTGATGATGTCGGTAGAGCAGAGATTGAATTCTTCACTTTTTATAGTTTATAAAAGATAGTAAAATGGTACTTACCAAAAATAAGAATACAGGCTAAAGGCATTTCTCCTTTCATAATGGTGAACCCGAAGCTGTAAGAAAGTAATTTGAGGTGTCACAATAAAAAACATAACATTTGATTAATTATATGAACAATAATCAATAGAACAAGCTTTTTTCACATGGATTATGACAAATTATATGACTTGGCTATTGTTACTGCAATCTATGAATGAAATGTGACTTTACCAAAAGCTGAAGTAGCCTTACATTATACTGTGTCCTCCCGATCTTTTTGTTGGTTTTGTATTTAGTTTGATTATGATGCGGTCCTCCAAACGGCAAACAAGCAAATGATTAATACATTGTCATTAACATTATATTTTATTCATGAAATTCAATTACAAAATAAAACCTAGATTTCTATCTAATTTTGTTATCCTTTCAACACACTACAAAAGTACAAGATGGTACAAGTTGTACGTTTTTAAGCCTCAATTATTGTCAATATAATCAAAATTATTACCATAATTGTATATATTTCAGTTTCAACTTAGTTTGAACTCATTAATCATTGGATTATAAAATGTTATCTTTTAAAATGTTTATTCTTTCTGTTAAAAAGTGCTGTGTTTATTTGATAGATTACATAGATGTCATATAAATTTCATTATTCCGACAAATTGGCCCAAACATTCTTATAGATCCCATTTCAAGGATTACACAGGAATAGGTATATGATACGAAGACAGTGATGAATACTTTTTGATGAATGATGTAATATGACACATCAAAAAATCATTCGACCCGATTTGAAACTGATTCCATTGTCGTCAAAGAGTCACTGGCGGATCCAGAAGCTGACAAGAGGGAGGGGCCCAGTTTTCATGATAGAAAAAGGTTTGGGCCCCTAAAACCAAAAATTGGGCCCAAATTATGCCGAAAAAGATCCATTTTGTGAGGCTCTACACATTTTCTGGGGCCCTAAAACATTTTTCGGCCTAAAAATGGGTATATAACCTCAACTGTAAATGACCTTGAAAGTACTTGAGCTGACCAGGGATAAACAGTTTTAAAATAATTCTCATAACCAGTTGTTATTACAGTAATTATTATAAGCATTTATTTTTACCAGGAGTGTAGCTTTTTTACACTGACCATCGCATCATGATCATTTACGGCAGCATAGTCTTCATCTGCTGTATTTAATATACACTTTCACAAAAATTGGTCCAGAAATATATGCTTCATCCCAAGCCGACGCACAATATCAATATATAAAAAACATCAAGAGATGTGCTTGTGCGAACATAATGACCTTAAGAAATATCAATAGATGGCGAAGAATTCAATGGATTCAATTATTGCTTCAAACATCTCCAAAAATGAATTTCAATGGAAATATCCAAAATGATAAGATGATTATCCTTATGATGTTGAATGGTAAAACATCTTAGTAAGTAATAAGGAAGAGAAAGTGTGATATTTTTGGACTATGTTGCGCATATCGCAGTTTTGATACAGCAAGCTTTTCATACAAACCAATGGGACATTCAAGTTTTAATACAGCAATATTTACCCACAAGCACACCTTTTGAAGACAATTAACCCATAAGAAAAATATCAGTGAACTGCCATCTATACGAGTCCTGGCTCTCATCTCTATTCTCACTATATGGAACTAAATGTGATAAAAGTAGAACATATATATAAAGCTGTGAACGAAAGAAACTTAAAGAGACTCTATTGAGACTTCTCTGTGGCATTTTTTCTTTATTCTTTTTTGTTTTGAATTTTTAACACCATAACATTAACTAACTACTCAAAATGCAACTTTTCACCGCGTAGAATTTAAAATATTAAGTTTGAAAATTCCATTTTTATAATGGAGCTCAATGGGAAAAACTACATAATTTGAATTATTTTCAAACGTAGCGGCGCGATTTTGATAAAATTGACAGATATAATAAATATTGGTAAGACAAAATGTTTGATGAAAAATGAAGAAAATTCACCGTCCTGGTTACGCAAACTATAGAAAAATCTGAAATAATCATAAAAACCTGTAAAAATAGATTGAAGGGGGTGATATTCATTTTTAATGTGCCTTTCACTACTACAGGGTAACCATAATTTTGGTACTGATTTGATTTTTCAATGAAAATCATTTCTATAGTGTATAGTCAGTTTAAATAATACAATTGGTATATTTCTTTACTGAACAGTGCAATAATTTATTTATTTATCAACAGTAATGCAAACTACATATTATACAGTTAGTAAAATATTAAAATAATTCTATTAAAATTAAAGCATTGCCAGAATGTGTTGACAGCTGGCAAAAAATTGAAGAATTTGAAGAAAAATAGCCACCCAAAGACACTTACACCTGCTAATTGCCACTTTGCAAAGAGTTTATTCAAGCAAGAAAACTATTTGGAAGAAAGTAATTTCGGGTTGAACATGGTACCCACCACTCTAGTTACCTTAGCAACCATCTCTCAAGAACCAATCAAAATTGAGGTCCCAAAGGACCTTATACACCCTCCATTGGGATCTCCCCATGAGAAAAAAATAATTCATCTGATTTTTCAAAATGAGTATTCTGCTTTAATTATTACATTTATATGCACACTAGTATCTTGTTGACCTATATTCAGCACTGTATTGATGTATAGGCCACGTATTAGGGTCATAATTCAATCATGAAGTGTAGAGGCATATGATTCCAAACCAGGAAGTATTTTTGTGTCTGTCAAAATCCATTTGCATCCTACGCATCCCTACATCTTATCCAAATTTGTTACTACATAATGAAATAAAATAGTATATTCTTTGGTTTTACAAAGTTGTATGATTTTTGATAAGTGTAAAAGTTGTTTTTGGAGCATTTTCCTATAGCCATTTTGTAGGGAAAAAATTATGAAAAAATGTACAATCTTTTAATTTTAAGTATGACCTGAATCGATTGCAAACTTCATATTTGCACATAAACCATTAGTGCCATATTGTGAAATTATTAAGTTTGCAATCGATTCAGGTCATAGTGTATTTTTGGTATTTGTGTGATAATCAATAGAAATATGCAGATAAAGATGCAGTGAAAGAGTTAAATCATTGGGATATGAATAAATCATGCAAAACATATTTTGTACATATTTCTCATCATTTAGGGTTACCCAGTAGTTAACAAGCTGACCTTTGCAAAATATATTTCACTTACTATCCTCATTCGCTATCACGCTATCTAGTTTCTTTCCAAATTGGCCTGGATTGCCTGGTTTATTGGTTTTAGCGAACCGTCCATTTCGTCGAACCATCATTTTGCTAAGGTTGTTTGTGATGAATATACAATATTCAGTTACATATAACTGTACAGCAACTTTATGCAAGGGAAGGTAATTGTGTGAGAGCACATAAAGTACATGAAGTATTGACCCACTTGTCTCAGTGAATCGTATAAACAGTGCATAAAGTTTTTTCTATGCAATGATTGGCTCACAGTTACTTATAGTGTAAGTTATTTTAATTCTATACAGTGTGGAATAGAGTGTATAAACTTTTACAGTTTCAAGCAGGTTTTAACTTTTAATGTTTTCTGACCAATGATATATTCAGACTTATTCATTTCACGATTATGTAATACTGACCTACATATCTGTATAGCATATCTTTAAAAGAAATAAACTCGTCGTCGTTGGTCCCACATGGTTCATTTCAGCATTTCTCGTTTATTGTATCCATATGGTCTTCCCCGCTCTCTCAGTGTGAGGTATTTTTAAATACCCATGCTGTAGTCGTCTCCAGCAATAAATTAATATATCAAAGGTTCCTTATTATTACTTTTAGAAACTTTTGGGAAAATATCACTGTTTGAAATGGAGTCTCGTTATTTTGCTCGCATGTTTGCATAAATAATGTACATTTTTCCCTGTTTGATTCAAGAGTGTCGCTCTACTTCTTAATATCCAAACCATCTGCTATCAGTTTTAGTCCAACACCGTGTGATTTCGGTCCATGAAGAGGGTCGACTATAAAACGCCATAGAACTTTCAGCCATGATGTATGATACGGTAGATGATCGTAGAATTCTGGGGCTAACCTCTTTACCTCTGGCAAAAGGTGGTACGGCACGTAAGGGAAATCGTGATGTTCCACGTGGTATCCAACGTTAAACAGAATCGGATTCAATGGACCGTAGTATGAATGCGTAGCTTGTCCTCGACTGAAGAGATAATGTTCAGATATGAAATGCCCGGCAAGTGGATGCAATCCAAGCCCAAAGAAGGTACCCAAGAGCAAATAGAAGAACGCTTTCTGGCCGAATATATAGAATATAATGAAGTCGAACGTGAACTGAACAACAATGTTTATGAGTTCCAAAATCGTCACTGGTTTCGGTGACTTGAGAAAAGGTCGGATTCCGTGGAGAAGTGGATGGATGAAGAGCCAAAGTATTTTCGTGGCAGGGTTGTTGAACAGGTAAGTCTCGGGAACTGTTGGAACGTCAGCGTCAATGGAATCGTGTCCCAAGTAACGATGATGGTCCGAATGATATATTTTATAACTTACGGACATAGGTACCACCATTGGGAGGTTAGCGAACATTCCAAGTGCTCTGTTGCGCAAAGGATGTCTATGCCCAAACGCTAGATTGTGCCCAATTTCATGTATGGCGCTACCTAGTGAATGATTCAAAGTGCCACCAATGACATAAGCGGCAATGACCACCGAAACCCAGTTTGGATTATACGTTAAAATGATCCAACACATAATCATCTGTGCCAGGAATTCAAACAAGACAATGAATGCAATACGAGGAGAATATCCCATCAACTTCTTTATTTCGGGGTGTTTCCTTAATATTTCTTGCCTGCGATGGGTATGCGCCTCTTCTGTAAATACCCATGGCTTATCTTCGTTGGCCACTTTAAATGCCAGCCGTGAAAAATTGAAGAACATTTTTTAGCTTCAACGTACTATACGGGCTATTTCTCCAAGAAAACGGCACACCACTCTGAAAGATAAAATATATCCCTGTCAGTGCTTGCGCTCTACTTAGGATTTATAACCATTCTAGTGTTGTCTAGCCCAGTGAATGTGAGGGTAGCTAGTATGCCAACCTTACAATGCAAACCTATCTAAAACCTAAAATAGCTAGTTTACAAAGATTTTGAAAATTTTAAACATAGAACAATGTTTACGAATGAAGATTTTCCAACGTTATCTTTTTGATAACGGTAATTGGTGCTCTTTCTAATAACATATTAGATGGTTAGTGCTCCTTCTGATAATGAATAACATTAGTAAATGCCCAAATGCTCTATTCTGATAAAATATGACAGTAGTAAGTGATCTTTCTGATAAAGACATGGTATACTTGTTATACAGGGTGGTCCAAAAAATCATTTACACTTTTGACAACAATAGCTTGTGATGTGCTCAATCCAAGTTCTTCTCCCATTGTGTGGATCACAACTGACCTGCACATTCTCAAGACATATCATTTATAAAGGCAGGGTCTATGCGAACAATCACCAAACTATTGATGAGCTAAAGAATATTGAAACAAAGATCAGGATAATTCTTTTTGACACCATGGACAGGAAAATTACAATGTCTTCAAAGAGCTTGGATTAAGAACTTTAGAAACTATTGATCTGTGCTCACATTACGGCGGTATATGATAATAAACCCTACACAACACAAAACGTACATGTCTGTAGAACAGGTCTATGAAATCTTCCCATTGTTAGAAGCTGTTACGCAATCAAAAGTGTAAATGATTTTTTTGACCACCCTGTATTAGTGCTCTAATTGATAATACATTACAATAGTTAGCGCTCCTTTTTTAATGTTTGACAATTGTTTGTGCTTACTAAGTGCTTCTTCTGATGATGTAATACAATAATTGGAACTCCTTCTGATAATGTTTGATATTAGTTTGTGTTTTTTCTGATAACGTTTGACATTAGTTCGTGTTCCTTCTGATAATGTTTGATATTAGTTTGTGTTCTTTCTGATAAAGTTTGACATTAGTTTGTGTTTCGTCTGATCAATAATGTTTGACATTAATTAGTGTTCCTTCTGATAATGTTTGACATTGGTTAGTGTTCCTTCTGATAATGTCTGATATTAGTTAGTGTTTTTCTGATAATGTTTGACATAAGCTAGTGTTTCTTCTGATAATGTTTGACATTAGCTTGGGTTCCTTCTGATAATGTTTGACATTAGCCAGTGTTCCTTCTGATAACGTTTGACATTTGTGAGTGTTCCTTCTGATAATGTTTGACATTGGCCAGTGTTCCTTCTGATAACGTTTGACATTTGTGAGTGTTCCTTCTGATAATGTTTGACATAAGTTAGTGTTTCTTCTTATAACGTTTGACATTAGTTAGTGTTTCTTCTGATAATGTATGACATTAGCTATTGTTCCTTCTGATAATGATTGACATATGTGAGTGTTCCTTCTGATAATGTTTGACATTTGTGAGTGCTGTTTTGATAAAGTATGGCAATTAATAATCAATGTTCCCTCTGATAATGTATGATAGTCTAGAATATTTTCAAAATAAAAGCCTCTAGAAAGAGAGAGTTCTTACATTTTTACCCAAAAACTCACTTTGACACTTATTTCATCTTGGCAAATCTCAGTATCAATAAAGGGACCCTTTACCATTCAATTATTAACCATGGTTACGCTGCTCGTCAATGTGTTAACGTTGTCATCATATTTTGAACGCACTCGTTTTAGTCGATATTACATGCAAATCCCGAAGAAAAAACTATTAAGGTCCCAAAATCCACCCCAAGTTGATTAAACATGGTATATTTCGACTTTTGAGAGTCAACTAGACTGTATTTTTTATAATAAGTTTTCAAAAATATTTTTTATTAATTTAAAAAGAAAATTGCAAAAAACACATTTTTTACCCAAAAAGTCACTTCGACACCTTTAAATTTTCATCTTGGCAAATCTCAGTATCAATAAAGAAACCCTTTACCTTTCATTTGATAACCATGGTTAAGGTGCTCGTCAAAATGTAAGATGTCATTTTATTTTATACATACCTATTCTAGACTATGACAACAGTTGCTTTTCTGCATTGCAATTCATCTTCCCATTTACACCAATTGACCAGGTGTATTGAATATATACTATATACATTATTAAGACATACCTGATTTCAATGCACTTTTATCACATACCAAAACATTCGAAGATTAACATTTACTAGGAATGTCGGGATTGTTATGTAGTTTTTATTCATTTGAAAAGATGATACAATACAAACAACATACTATGAAAGAGAGCAGTGTCATCGTGATTTCTAAAGAAGAGGCTACACAAATGAGGTAATACTCCAATATTCATCGATGAATAGATTTATACGTTGCAATCCAAAGCAATATAACGTAACATATGCATCGGTATATTTAGTGTTTCATTACTGTTATGCCATCGTGCCTGTTTATAATGGCTTACCTGGTAAAAGTAATTTCAGGTAAAAATATTATTGCAGTACATGTATGTGTTTAATCCAATACTGTTTGATGGTCCGAGACGCTTTGATGTTGGATCAAGGTGCACCTGACAATAACGCTCGTAACATTGTGAAATATCTATGCAATGCAGATAACTCGAAATATGTTTAAACTGAAAACATGATATGCCTTCGTAATATGGTTTAGTTAAAGTAGTTCGCCGATCTTTTTTATTGCTGTTTACTGCCACAAACTAATCTCATAAATTCCATAATAGTGAGCGTCGCCTGTATGTATTAAATATAATGAAGCTGATCTATACAAGGTATTCCACTTATGATGTACGAATGTCGAGTACCAATATTCATTTGGCTAATTCACTTGCATCACTTACGTCATTTGCGAACAGGGCTAAAAGATGTTCCACTATGCACATCTTACTTGTATTTTTATTTGGCACTGTTGTGATAAAAAAGAAATGCATAACGAAGGTTAAGTAGTGCGCAGTTTACTTTACAGGTTTTCCTTTTTAGCGAAAAAGAAACAAAGTGAAAGGGCTTCATATACAGCCATTCCATCAAAAGGAAATATTTTCAAAATAAAACTCATCGTTTAAGATAAATAGTAATAGTAGTCTAGTCTAGTCTAGTGTATATTACACCTGGATAATTTACTAGGTACTTCAGTGTATGCGTATTTATGGTTGCTACATGAAATACTCCATGTCACCATGATCATTTCCATGCGTGCTTGCGAAATAATATGCATGTTCCATAATTGTATCCATGCTTGCCATCACAATTCAACCTTACAAGGTCTATCTATTTATGGGATGGAGGGCAGAGTTAATGAGCTGAATCTTTTAGGAATAAAATACAAAAGAACTATGCTCGCTAGCCATGTACATGTATATACTGTAGTTTTGCACTCTTTGTGTCATCTTAGATAAGATATTTTTAATTTGGTAAATATACATCACAGGGTGCCTGAGTAGAACATTTGCAAAATATTTTGTAATGACCTTTTTTAAAAACCTCTTATTTGATTCAATGATTTATGTTTGATCGCGTTAATTATTCAACCTAAACATGCAATAAACGCAAACGTTTCTAAACACATTCACATTTAGATATATAATAGCAGTTATCAACATGTAGATTCATTCATTCTGTTGTTGTTGTAATAGTTAGAGTTTTATTCATTTAACTAATCCCATAATTAATAAAATGTCAAATTCTGTCAATCTGCTGTCAATCAGACCATGTGATGTCATAATATACGCTAATTTCTTTCCAATTTCAGGTCTATCCTTTTAATTTATGAACTGTTCCTTCTTGTGTATACGTATGGGCGCTCCTGAAAAGACAATAACATTATTTAAGTGAAACAAACAGAAAGAATTATGGTCTCAGTTTGTGTCATACAGCACCATTGATATTTAAACTCTGTTCTATAGATAATATATAATAAAAAAAGCTTGTAGAAACTCATTATTTCATATTTTGCGATTTTGTAAATTCTTCAAATAATATTATATTTGCTCTATTTTATCTTCATATTGCTATATACGTACTGCTGTTGGACAGCTGATGGGGTCCTGTCCAGGCTCGACCCAGTTCACCAGTGTCTGCTTCTGTCCTACAGGCTGGAGCTGTAAAGACGACAATGTGACGAACTTATTAATCGTTGGTTTAATTATGTTTCTGACAATTAATCATTTTTAGTTTTTTGGACCTGTCCCAATTGTTAGTCGATCCAACGAAGGAGGTGATCATCATACACACAAAATGAACATATTCAATTTTTCGATTGTGAAATGTTCCGGCCGTTTTCCCGAAATGGAATACGTACCATTGTATTCCAAAGCTGGATTCCGATGACATAATGAGCTTTGGTACCCGGGTGGAAGCAATCGGGTGACCAGAAACTTCTGTCAACTTCACCACTTGGCTACAATAGAAACAATTATGAGAAGATTTTAACAGTATGTTGTACATGAGCATTCTTAAAGATATAAAGCTTGGACTTAATGATCATGAACTCATTACTTCGCCTTTTATTTATACTCCTCTCCTTATAGTTCTTTGTTCACATGCATGTGTCGATTGTACACAATCGTTTTTTTACTCACAAGTCTCGGTGGAGTCGCATCTTCCAATCCAGTCTGAATGACTACAGTGAAGTCATCTCTCGTCTCATATCGGTCACTGTTGACCATATCATGAAGTCCTCTCACGTAAGCTTCTTGAAGTGGTTTTAGGCCGGGTCGTGTTGCATCATCAGTTACGCAACCGCAGAACATACTTTAAGGAATCAGTTTCAAAAGGTCAATAGAAATGAAGACCTCCAAGGAATAATCTTTGATTTTTGAGTTCAGCCACGTTATGATAGCTTCTAGTTACTTCGGTTAAAACTGGGAACACTAAACCTTGGAATAAAATCACCTTGACTGCCTAACTAACGTCACGTTATAGTGGACAGTTAGTACGTACACAACTACTGTCTAAAGGTCGGATTATGGTGGAGAATCTTTACATGACTAAGTTACTGCCTAATCACTGGTCGTCGTTATCTTCTCTTTCAAAATGGCGGACGGTAACTGTCGATTTCGATATTTTTTGTATTTATCGAGTTAAACTACTTACCTTGCTGTGGACATTCGGCTTACACACCGAACTAGCATGACAAGGAATTAAACGTAACATGATGAATTGTGCCTATAGTTGCCTTAAAACTTACTCGTGTAGCGTGTCACACATGATGCCATCACTCATTTCTGGTAGAGGAGTTATATCAAACATTGGTACTACGTTCACCAAAGTACGCGGGGAGTTCTCGAACAAATGGTCGATTGAGTTCTGAATTTCTTCTACGTAACGGGCAGCACTATAATAGTCCTACATATTTAAAGAAAGTATAATTAGGCGGACTGCTAATTTGAATTAACAACTACATATGGTTGATGCTAGCAAACAAAAACTCACGTATTTGTCACCAAATATACATGATAAATGTCATGATAAATAAAATGCAGTAAGTGTAGTCTATCACGTTCTTTTTTCCATGTGATGGCCAAACGTATAGATCGACGCTGAATGTGCACTTTTACCGATACCATGTTAAGACCATCATTTACTGTGGCATGTGCCATAAATGTGTATAGACAATGTATTTTAACTACCGGTATCTCATTCATACATATCCCCGACAAGGGTGACACGAATGTGTACAAAATAGTCGGCGAAATGACGTGTGGTTCTTGTTGGTGGTTAAAGTTCACTGAGCAATGGTCTAAATTAGTATGGATAAAAAGATATTAACAGCGCTGAACCAAAAAACTGAACCAAAGTAAACTATTTACTTGCCTGATCATTGCATGATCTGCAGAGATCGTTGCCACCAATAAGGATGTTGACAACCTTCCAGTCGTTGTCGATGTCAATATCGGCAGAATCAATCATCTGGTTCACAAGATCAGTGGCCTGATCCAGCATACAACTAAAATCAGTATGTAGGCCTGAGCACGATTGATTTTAAATAATTTTACAAAAACTTAAAAATGAATAGAATTTTTCAAGAAGTTTGACCATAGGTCAGAAGGTCGGCAAATCGACAAAAGGAATCATATATCTCTCTTGAAAGCCCATGTTTATATTGAGCAGTAGCTACTTGTGAACCAAATATATGCTTACTGAGCAGTACATCCTGGAACTGCAACATTCATACCAGCCTCTGGGTCGCCTGCACTGCTCTCGTCTGTGCTGTAGCCAGTCAAGTCCGTGTTGAACAACTTAAGAACATCTGAGGAATGAAAGGGGACATTTTCGTGTTTAGGAGGAGGCTATACATGGACGTAATGGTAATGTCAGGCAAAGTCAGGTTTATTGTAATGTATACATTTCGTATGATTAATTCTTTTCACCTAATCTTTAACTAAAAAGATCAGTTATTGTTGCCATGGTCACAACAAATGAAGGTTCTGTTAACGATTCCATGAAAACTAAACATTGCTCACTTGGCATTGTCCTTACTCCAGAAGCTATATCCCCAGCACCACCTCCGCTGAAATAGAAGTATCACTATGGAGCAACCTTGGCAATATTCGACTCAATGTTAGCATATTTTGGGCTCATTGCATTCCTTGTCATGTCTATTTTCTAATAGTGCATACCTTTTTGAGGAAAATTAGAGATTTCTACAACTATGTTTTAATTTTTTTACTGTATAAATGTGGTTACCACTAATCAGTTTATAAATCATTTATAAATGTGGTTACCACACATTTTAGGCAAACTGATCACTTATTATAATAATCCACTGGTTAGTATAAGCCCATGGTATCAAGCAAAGGTAACGGTCGTAACCTTCGTATCTACGATGGCGAACGACAATTGTCGATTTAGCTATTTTAATTTTCATCGAATTAAACTACTCTATAGTTGACGTTATGCTTTGAAATTTGAACCAAATCAGCCGTCTATGACATTTTGTACTCCAGAGTTTCCATGTCAAATTCTGATGTAGTTCAAATAGCAAACCATTACGTCAACAATAAAGTAGTTTAATGCGATTAAAACTAAAAAATCTATATCGACACTTACCATTCGCATCTTATGCCTTGGTCACATAGGCTCCGATTTTCACTACGGCGCCCGGCCGATGAGTATTTTGTTCAAAATCGACCGGCGAGCCCGGGCATCGTACGGGCGCCGGGCGATGATCGCCACTCATCGGCCTATTTTTAGACATCGTACGGGCGCCGGCAGAGTTTTATCGCGGAGATAAAAGTTGCCGATGTCTTGGCGATTTTTTCTCAACCAAAGTCATCGGTACCTACCCGGCCGTGTCCCGTCCGGTCATCGTACGATTATCTTACGGCGCCCGGTGGCATCGCACGGTCATCTTGGGATTTTGCGTGCTGATAATAATGATTACTTATTAATTGAGTGATATAAAGGTTTTAAAAATAATGAGGTAAGGAATTATAATTACTACACACTGTCAGAGATTTTTTATAAAACATAAATGGAACGATTAGGCTAAAAATTTGAATGGCTGGGTGGGTGGGTTGGTTGATCTAGTCGTTCTTATATTGACATTAATCGTGTATGTCTGCCATACGCATTGAATAGAGTGATACATTTTTATGCGCATATTCACTCATGCATATACCATTACAAATCATTTATTTTTAAAATCTTCTGAATGTTTTTGTGAGTACAGTATTTTCAAGGGTCACAATTTTAATACGAAAGTTCACTGTCTCAATTACAGTTAATATGCCAAAGGCTAAGGATAGAGGGGATAAGGCCAATGGGCCATATAATTTCATTTATTTATTGTACCAATAATCCCTTAAGGGCAAATGTATATGATATAAATATGAGGAAGGCCTTGGGAAGACAGGTGGAAAAAGAAAATAACAATGCTAGTGAGCTGGTGGATTATGAAGATTTAGGTCCACTTGAAATAGAAGAAAAAATGCCAATTTCTTTGAAGATAGGCCATATTTTTATGACCAAACAAATTCTCTTTACGAGAACAGACAAAAGAAAGATGCAGAAATATGGAATTTTGCTTATGGCATCGGATGGACAGGTAGACATAGTATTTGTTTATATGAAAGATCTAAAAATTAATTAAGGTCAGGGTGCACTTTGATGAAAAGACCACGTCCAGTATGGCAAGTGATTTTAGACGGTCATATCTTTCACCATGAGTACTTTCTGGGCATAAATACAGTGTTTTTATTAAAACAAGATGTTTTCTTTCAATTGAAGTACCCATGATAGTAAAAATATCAATCAAACAATTTGAAAAATTATGAATAGGGACCCCATGTCAGCATTTTTTTCTAAATATTGAACCTATTTACTCAAAAGAGGATCTTCTTTTTCTGATTTTTATTGCATGGAAACATTATTATCCTGGAAGTCCTGTCTATCGAAATATTTCGTTTTCAAATCTTGCATTCACGCCATGTGGAACAGTCATACTGGGTCATACAAGAATTAAGTATAAATCTAGAGGCCTGTAGATCGACCGATGTCCTGGCGGGTGCCGTACGGCCATCGGCAGATAGCCTTGCGATACCCGTGCGATGTCTTTCAGATTATATTGATTGCGGGCGCCGTACGATGCCTGTATTAATGTGACCATACTCACGATTAGATCAAGACATCGGTGAAAAGTCACCGGCGCCCGGTCGATTTAGAAATCGGCGGCGCCCGGCGGCTATGTGACCTAGGCATTAGATGCGAAGGTTACGGTGTAAAAGAAATTATGGTCCCCTGGGGATTACGGTCCCCTTTCTTAAAGGCCCTTACTGGCCCTGATTGTGGATACGATAATAAGGGAAAGAGTTGTATTTAGGTCACCATATAAATCAATGGAAAGTAGGACCATAATTTGATAGGACCTCCTACCCTTTTACAACGGCCGTAACCTTCGCTGAATACTGACCATTGACTTTGAAATTGAATCTCGAATAACTTCTTAAATCGATGAATTATACAGTGATATATTTTAATTGTACATTACAGTTCTAGAAGGTGCCACTTACTATGCGCTGTGATGCCTGTTTTGGAATGCAACATCAGTAATGATGTCGGACAAAACACCATTGCCAGCCTAATGATTCAAACAAAAACAATAAACTAATGCAAAATTTGCATATACGTAACCCCTCACACTGAAACCCAGAAAGGCAGTTATAAAACAAATTGAAATAACACTTTCTTGACGTTATGTCCAACCATGATGACGTAAGATTGCGTAATTTCATTGTAAAGAAAGAGGGGGAGAAACCCCAGGGTTCAAAGATGACATACACTTAGAATGTAAATCTGTATTGAGATGACATCGTCGCTGATTGGTTTAGCGAGTCGATCGTTGATTGGTTTAAAACTAGGTCAATTTGACAACTTTGAAAACCAAGATGGAGGGTAAGTTTTCGACAAAAGGAGGTACGCGAAGGAGGAAATCGTGAATCATGGGGTTTTCCCTCCTCTTTTGTAAAGACAACAGTATGGTAGAAATACTGCTAGCTTTTTCCGATTTTATCTTTAGCTGATGATTACAATTAGCCTATGTACATCTTTGCTGATTTTTCAAAAAACATTTCTTATATCTTTAGTTCCAGCTACTGAAAATTTGAAGATCCTACCAGCCAGATGCCAATAAAGAATCAGTAAAGCTAGGATGTTCAAACTTTCTCAAAATATACTACATTTAATTTAATTTAATATAATTAATTTAACAACTTGATGTAATAACTTTAACAACTTTGGTAGAAATAGTGCTAGCTTTTTCCGATTTTATCTATTGGAGCTGATGATTACATCATAATAAATCAATTATCCTATGTAAAATTTTGCTGATTTTTCAGAAAACATTTGTTATATCTGTAGTACCAGCTACTGAAGATTTGACGATCCTACCAGCCAGATGCCAATAACGAATTAGTTTAGTTAGGATGTTCAAACTTTCCCAAAATATACTACATTTAATTCTCTACAACTTGATGTAATAACTTTAACAACTTTGATGATGTAAGATTGCGTAATTTTATTCTAAAGACAACAGTATGGATCTTACCAGCCTGATGCCAATAAAAATTACGGGGAAAGTCGAACATCTCCCAAAACCATTAGCCATTTAAATATCGAATCGGATAAGAGTAGAGCGACTACTAGGGATTGCTTTATTACTACTCACCATGATGGAGTCTCCGAATGCAGCGACAACAGCAAAATCACTTGGTCGTAAAGCGTGTACTACAATAATACAGTACAGATTAAATACATTGAGATCAGAGATGATTATATTGTATTTCTTTAAATATCAGAATGAATGTTTTACCCCTCACTCACTTTCAACCCCCTTTTCTACATGTATATACACCAGTCTGTTACTAACCTGAGGTTGGGGGTGATGGCGATGGTTCCACTGTGCAGTTGAAGTTGAATGCAGCTGGCTGAAAATAAAAGTAACTAAATTCTACTTTCTACTTTCTATTTCGTTTGAATAATTTTGTTCCAAAAAGGGTTTGTGATCGGATCAAATGTAAATGTTCTTGCAAATTTAAGAGACATAAATAATCAAATTAATACCATGGAATGTGCAATAATGGACGAATCTTACGATATTGAATAAATCAATAGAAACTTCCAAGTTCCTACCTTCCATCCTGTAAGATCTGCAGAGTCTTTATTCGCGTTCTGAAAGAACGATGAATCAAAATTCTGCCATCTATTTACCCAGTCCCTGTAAGCTGAAATATAATTGCAGGGTTCTTAAGAAACGACGTTTATATTTTAAAGCCTGGAAACACATGGAGGTCAGCAGCTCACAGCAAAAATAATTTGGCTATAGAGAAGAAGAGAAGAGTTTGTGTGTTTGTTTGCGTTTGATGTTAAAAAGTCTAACCCATGACATGAAGAAACCAAACGCATTATCAACACCATTAGCGGATACAGAAGCTAACTCGGGGACAACATTTCAAAATTGAAAAATGTCCGCGCGTTAAAAATTGTATAGCCATAGAGAATTTGTAATGATACCTAATCGTACCCATGTTACCTAACTCCAGAGACAACTTATTGTGTTATATACATCGCAAACTGTATTAGTAACACGAGGGAGATTTTATACCTTTACCTATATGGCTAATTCAAGTGACAAATTATTGTGTCACTTACACCTCTAGATAGAAACACGAGGCACATTTTCTAACGTTTTTCATATAGCTAACCCGGGGGTTACTCCTAGCAGTAACAGCAAGAAACAAAGCCAGAGAAGCGACGAACCTCAACTTCTTGTGTCACCTATATACATAGCAAAATGTGCTAGTAACACGAGGCACATTTTCTAACGTTACCTATGTGGCTAACCCGAGGGTTACTCCTAGCAGTAACAGCAGGAAACAAAGCCAAAGAAGCGACGAACCTCAACTTCTTGTGTGACCTATATACATAGCAAAATGTGCTAGTAACACGAGGCACATTTTCTAACGTTACCTATGTGGCTAACCCGAGGGTTACTCCTAGCAGTAACAGCAAGAAACAAAGCCAGAAATGCGATGAACCTCAACATGGTCCTCTCTTTGCAAACAGTGTGAACAAACTGAACTAACCAACTGGTTCCTGCCTTATCTAAACTATTCTGCCCTATATTCTCAACTCTAATAAATTAGTTTCTCAATTAGATTTTGACGTATAAAAGGTGTGTTTCAAGGCCCATTGTTATGTGACTTATGCCTGGGTCACATTTGTACCGATTTATCGGCCGGCGCCCGGCCAATAGGATGTCATTTTAAACAATTAAAATACCCCTTTTTCCATATAGCTTTGAAATTTTGTTAAAGTCTCGTTTTAATGAGATTTTAGGAGATCTGCATTTTTAACCATTAAAGACTATAATTTTCTTCCATTTGATGGCATATTTGAATCCCCTGTGTAATTTTCTATCAAAACAACTTTGATTTGCAGTGTTATTTGCCTTTTTTCAAATTCAATGATTTTCTAGTTGTCCGAGTTAAACTAAGGTCGGGCTAAATTCCCATTGACACGCTGAAAACTTTTAAAAGTTCATTTACATAATGTACTCTTACAGGGATCACAATTTTAATGTAAAATCACAATCCACATGTCAACAAGATCATATAGTTACATTCCAATGGTGTTTTAAGTTTATCCAAATGGAATTACTTCTGATCAAAAAATTAAATGACTCTGGAAATACATTTACATGTATTCTAGCCCTACCATGGCCCTACCAATACCCATGATGCCATCTATTTTCCATTTATATGGAAAAAAGTCAAATGCCGGGCGCCGGCCGATGAATCGGTGTAAATGAGACCCATGCATTACTGAAAAAGCCCAATCCCTACTGCATGATGTGGCTATTGGTGAGGCTACATTCGGAAAAGTAGGCATACCATCAATGTGCCATATTGTCCAGTAATGTGGCAGACAATGCTGCTGAAGAGTATCTAATGTCACATGGTACTATACATCATACATGTACACAGTTGGGTCCAGTAAAATATCAGGAAAATCATCATCAATTAATCTTGCTTCAAGACTGTGGACCCCCGCGTATATACACCTCACCAACACATCACATTGTGGGGATATGTGTAGTGGAGGAGGTCACAAAGGCTTGCTGTGGCTAGACTAAACCAGTTAGTACGATCCCGTGAAGTCACTCCTACGTCGGAACTTTAGTAGAAGGCCTGTAACACCCTTTCGAGAGTGAAATACATGGCTGTTGTAGCAGAGACATTATTTATGATTATTTAACAAACCATTTGTCCAATAAGTTCCTTTTAGGATTTCAACTGATTACTTCTTAGAAATATTTGCTCAATATTGCAGCCCATGTCGAATTTTTGGCTGGCTTTAAAAGGAATGGATATTTTTTGAACCGATCGGAACTCAGGGTGTTTTAAGGTGTATGTTCATGTACTCGATTAGTTGCATTGTTCGAGTATTATGTATGACCTGGTTATCAAATCTTATTGAACCTCTTGAATATATATGAAAAATTATTGATAAAGACCGAGATTTCATGATTTATGTCAAATCGCGTAGCGATTGAGGTATTTGGCAATGGCCAGAATAAAATTTTGGGTAATACGCTCGTATATTTGACGATAAATCATAAAATCGAGGTCTTTGTTACGATTCTAATATGATAAACAGTGGCGTATCTGTAATTTACGGCAATACGGCATGGCGTCTAGTTGAAAATCTTAAGTATGGGGAATTATTTTATTTTATCTATCACTCATTCATCAAAAAATACTTGAGAACTTTATAAAGTTTCCCATTCCTTTTTACTAAGACCTTCCAGCTGTGTAGCATACATTCTCGAATAATTTATCATAGTATGCATTTAACCAATTTTCACGTTTAAAAAAACATTGAAATGTTCTTACCACTAATCTCTTATCTTCTTGTATATTGAAAAGGTAACCATAGAGATAATATACACGATGCAAATATTCTGAACATGTCAAATACCAAGCCTATGTAGTACGTCAAGATAATATAGGTCAAGGTAGTTAAATATGCATTGGCACACACAGTACAGATGGTAGAATTATGGTTTACAATTATTTTCAGCTTTTTTCGTATATTAATCGGAATGCATCTGGTATATGAAACTAGCTACATTGTAGACACTAAGCATCTTCGCACCCCTCTTCATTAGGACCGGCAGGACCCGAGTGAACGAATATGCATAAAAACGCAAAATCAACATGAATTGTTATTTGGAATAATGAAATTAATGTTTATGATATTTAGGTTTTCTGATTATTTTGTTTTTTCTGATTTATTAAAAAACACAAATGCAAAGGGACTCGAAACAAAGAATCTACTTGTTAAGGCTTATAGAATGAAGAGAACTTTTCCTCATTCTTAGCTCCATGTAGCTTTTATGACAATACACAATATGCTGACATGGAAGTCAACGTGCTTACAAAGCATCTGTTTGATTTGTAGTAAATTCATTCACAAAAGTGATATGAGGAATTAAATCAACCATGCCTTGTTTGCAAATATATTCCAGGTCAATCTCACTACAACTTCACCACAATTAAATCTGACTTCATAGGCTATTTTAGAATTTCTTTACATCTCTATGTCCCCTGAACTTTGTTCCATGAGATAATTACGTGACCAAGTAGTCAAATTACATAGTATGTACTAAGTAATCGAGGATAGCTACAAAGAATTCGTAATTTTAAAAGTGCAATTACATAATTAGTAACTGATATTTTAACATTGAAAAAGTAACAATGAGAGACTCTGAGAAGACTGGAAGACTGTTCTGGGAAGGTCCCAAAAGAGGTCTGCCTCAGAGTCTCGCTAGTGCAACCTCATTACAATGATCCATCCCGGCGCTATTGTTAGTGCCACTAAACAGAAGGTTCCTATTTCCCTCATTATGTATACCTGACCATGAAACATGAACAACATTAAGAAACTCGAGAAGAAACCAGAAACCTAAAAACCAATTACTTTGATGTACTAGCTATAGATCCATGTAGTTCTTGTTTTTCCATTTTTGTTAGTATAGTGAATTCATTGCCTTTTACTTTTTTTCAAAACATTGTTTCGGGTACAGTATATTACTAATTGCTGGAAAACTGTCTCATGATCAAAGAAACACTTGTTTTCAATTAACATTATATTTAAATGATCACATGGGTTATATACGAGGGTGTATCTATAACTTTTGATAAAGTCTCAATAGAGACAATGGTCAAAGCAGATCCAAATCTGTCAGTAATAAAACTCGATGTTTCGTTGTCATCATGATATCATACAGTTGTTAATCTATAATATATGCCCGGGATTTGTATGATCATTTAAGGGAAACTCACATTATATATGTAATTTCATTATGTAAGATTTAAATTTTAAAAATACACTTAAAAATATTGATTCTAAAAGATACACCGTTGCTTCATTGTTAATTCGTTACTAAGAATTGAATTAAATGACCAATTACTATGTTTTAATATTCTGATGAAATGATTTTGCTCCTAGACATCCCACCCTTGTTTTAGATTCGAATGTGACTAAATAGCTCTACGTATATATGAACGCAGTAAACATGGTAAATGGTTAAATCTAAGTTACCTAATTTAATTTATGAACTTTGGGGAGTTTTTGACCGGGGGTTCGTGCGAACCCCCGCTGGCTACGGGCATGAATAATTTAGTTTATAATCTTGTATAACAAACAATATTTGATTGTTTTGAAAGAGCACCCCAAATTCTGAAACAGATGGTAATGGGGAACACTGGTCTGGAAACACTTTAAACTCTTAGAATCCACACTTTAAACTCGCCCTGCTGTCATAACATCAAATTCAAGGGACCTTGAGATCCAGCATGTTGACTGATATGACCCTTTGACTTCGCTTCTGTAAAACAGGAATTTTCTTTACATATTTCAAATCTTGGACCTGGTGAGTTTTGATGGTAAAATAATGGTTTACAATTACTTTCAGTTTTTTTTCGTATGTTAATCGGAATGCATTCCAATTTTAATGCACATCATATTGCACCTTTATTTATGAGGATAACAATATTAAGTTAAGTTGGAAGGGTCACAGCGATCAAACCAATAGCCTTTGAGTGAACTATGCCAGTTGGCACATTATATAGAGTTCAGTGTATAATCTCAATCTTGCAGTTGGTTCCCACACAAGACAAGAAGACAGAAGATAAGGACAACTGGACTGCATATAAGAAAGCAAACATGAAGTTGTATATGTTGTTTGTGATCTGTCTGGTATTATGCCTTATCACAGAGTCTCTTGATGCCAAAAAGAATAAGGAAAAGAAAATGAAGAAAAAAATGAGGAAAAAGAATAAAATGTGAGTGTTTTTACTATTTATGTTATCCTTTCTGATGTTTTGTCTTAGAAGGTGTTAACTAAACCTAGATGTTGCCAGAGGAGTCGCACTTCTACCCATTACACTATATTTATTAACCATCACCTTCTGTAATTTAAAGCACCCAGGCAGGGTTAATGTCGTTTTGGTAAACTAAGGCCCTCTTATCTTTTATGAAAATATTGTATGAATATTTTTGTTTGATTATGCCATGTATATGTATCAATCGTCTTATGTAGTATTCGGAAATAGTGATAGACATATTGAACTATAAATTACAACGGCATTGGAACAGAGATAGCCCCATACACAAACTCTATCATGTACCTAGTAAATTATACTTGGTGGACTGTGGGGGGCTAATTTCTTTTCGGGACGTCTCTATCTCTGCTCCGATGCCTGTGGTAAATCAATTGCATAACTTTAATCTATTTTTTATCTTGAGTGATCAATTTCTGATTCAATTATTGTGTAAGGGTCATCCTCGTATTCGTCTATTACCATCATCGAACTAAGTTCATGTTTTAACGGCTTCTTAATAAGTTTAAGTTCATGTTTCCGGCGAATAATTAACGTTCGTATTTCCGACTGAGTAACATATCCGCACTCCTGTCAAGTCCCAATTTAAATCGGTAGAAATCCAGTTTTAGCGCTTATCATGATTTTTTCGTCAAAACCCCGCTTTTTCATATAATCCCCCGATGTTTCGTTGAAACCTCCCATTCATGAATTATTAACGAGACAACCCGATTCTCAATACACCAGATGCGAGTAGAAATAATATTGATTTACTTCATTACAAATTCAAAATTCTCCTGATTTTCCTAGAAACTTTTTTTAGAGATCAAAAATTATTTTCACCCTAATTTTTTCGAAAAAACACTGATTTTTCGAATTCTCGATTTTTAGTAACCCTGATTTTTCTCGATGAGATCAAAAACTGATTTTTTTTTTATGATTTATAGAATCACCGATTGTTTTTCTAGAGCTCCCAACCTTCTCCCGAATTACAGAAAATGAACCCTCCCGATTTTTAGAAAAATGTCCCAATTTAAATTTTTACTTGTCAATATGTGGTCATTATTTTAAAATCTGAATAATGGAAATGTTTCTCACAAGACGATATTTTTGCCTTGTCCCCCTTTTCCTCCTGGTTACGCCATTGTCATACCCTTTTCATATCTCTAAATATTTATTTTACCCTCCTTGATGGAAGAAACACAATTGAATTGATTTGAGGCATCACATTTCAGGTCAAAGACAAAAGCTACAGCCAAAGGTGATATGCCACGTTTGAGACTTCAATATTTGGTGGACAGATTGCCATCTAAAGACATAATCCCAATTTTGAACGAGACGGCTGCAGTTGAGGTGAAATTTGGGATAAGTCTACAGAATGTCCTGGAACTTGACAGCTCCCTAATTAAGGCAGTTATTTGGCTGACATTTGTAAGTATTATAGAATTCAACACCTGTGTCATGTAAAATTACTCAATGATGGGTAATATTAGTAATAACGTGACACCCTGTGGTGGCATATTATTCACCATATTTCAGAAAAACAACTGCCATGACGAATTCGAATCCAGTCATTTCCAAATTTTATTTTTAGGTCTCAATTGAGTTTACAAATACCATCAATCAACTAATTAATTTGAAAACATGTAATTTTAATTCAGACTCTGAAAGTTATTTAACAAAATTTTATTAATCACTAAAACAATATTGCCCTCACCCCTTTTAGTGTTTTGGATTGATTTTTATAATTGTAGAGTTGGAAGAATGAGTTCCTGCAATGGGATCCTCGAGATTACGGTGGAATAAATATCATTCGTGTTCCAGAAAACAAAATATGGACACCTGACGTTGAGCTTTTTAACAGGTGAATATCTTATTTAATTTTTCTTTCATGAATTCGTTTTCAAGGTGACATTAACATAAAACACTTGTGGCAGCTTTGCTTATAGAATCATTAAACTAGAATAAACAAAATTTGGTAGGCGGAGAAGGTTTCAGATTTATTTTTTCGTTGAACTGGCTTAAGTGTGAATGGGCCCTGCCCGTATTTATTCTTGTATTTTGTAAAAGTTTGATGAATTCGGAATATTATTACATTATAATATATGTCCAGTACAAAAAGCTGGACTTGTTTGTCGTGATTTTGAAAAAATCAGTAAACATGAACTTCATATGAACAATTCCAGTGTGAGAAAGGCCGATATGATATATGACGTCTTGACTGTTGTATCAAGTGATGGCTCTGTTACGTGGATTCCCAGCATGGCCATCACCGCTAGCTGTAAGAGGCTAAAGAAAACAGCAAACGGCCGTTGTAAAATAAACTGCCCACTGAAATTCGGAAGTTGGACTTATGACGGAAATCGTTTGAATCTTACGTCAAATTCTGATACAGTTGATGTGAGCTCATACGTTGAGAATGAGGACTGGGAGTTGGTAGAAAATACCCAGAAGAGGCATTCACTGTCCTATGAATGTTGCCCAGAGCCTTATGTAGATGTAACTGGCAACCTTACATTTGTTGAGAAAGATGATCGCTCAGATGAAGACTGAGGAGTTTTATTTGACACATATGCATAAACAGAATACAATCAAATCAAAGATGTAGCATCTAGCAAAACCGTTGACATTGGTGCATACATACACAGTAGAACGTAGATTACTTCTCTTTGCATGATTTGTGCACACCGTGTACAACCATGGGCTTTCAATTAGATGTTACAACTGAGTGATCCAACCCATACCAAGGGGCAATCAATGTTATGTGAAACAGAGTTGTTAAAACAGAAATATTTCCAAAATAAATTAGTGCACGTGAACATTGTTTTTCCTTTTGGGTATGGTTCATTCTTGAAATACTCAAAGGGTTGAAGATCAAAACTGCCAGCTTTACAGTTCTCATTTTCATATCCTACAAAAACAAACTTCCTAATTGTCTCCAGATTTCAAATAAACAAAAGAAAGTGTTAAGTTCATGGGGAGTGTCGAATTACAATTTAGAGTTAAGGAAAACGACCAGGGGCTGGAACAATTGCAAACAAATCCCTCTTGGACACATTATTGCCATGTATGAATACTAGTATACCTATGCATTGAATAATATACAGGGTGTTTCATATGTATGCATCCCCCTCTAAACCCATTGATGTAGCATTACCAACCTACATGTAGCCTTGCCCAAGTCGGTATTTTTTAACTTATCTGATCTTGAATTATGACCGGCGGTCATAATGGAAATCAAGATAAGTAAAAGAGACCGACTTGGGCAAGGCTAACCTACATGTTACATACCTGCCAACCTACCGTATTTTTACGGGAATCTACCGTACAATTTTCGTTTTTTCCGTAAAAATGACAAACTACCGTAAAAAATTACCGTTTTTCCAGTAAAAACGACCGTAAAAAAATCTACCGTAATTTTACCGAAATATCTACCTTAAAATATTTTATTATAATTCGATTTTTTCTATAAGAACGGCCGTAAAATATACCGTAAATATTTGAAAATCTACCGTATTTCTGCTAGAATTAACAGTATTCTTTTTCAAACTACCGTAAAATCTACCGTTATTATTTGGAAATTCTAAAAAATTGAATTCTTCTCGTATTGCCCTTGTAATATTCCATTACCAACCCGAAAATAAATAGGTGTCGCCAGGTCAGTGACAGTGGTTATTGCGTACTTAGTAAGTAACTAAGTAAGCTGGCGTGTAATCAGTCAACACTGGGGAGTATCGTGATGCAAAAACACAGTGTTCAACTACCACAGGTTCTACTGTAGTTATATAAACACTGAAGTGTTCAAATTTGTTAGTCTGTTTAAAGAAGAGTTCCATGCATGCTGTGTTAGAAAAAAAACTTTATTATTTATTCATTGAAGTGTGTCAAAATCTACGCAAAATCAGTTTTTTAATATATCGCAAAAACTACCGCATTTTTTCAAAATTTTCCGCAAAAACTACCGCATTTCTTCAAAATCTTCCGCAAAACTACCGTTTTTTTCAAAAATCGACCGCAAAAACTACCGTCTTTTTCAAAATATACTGAAAAACTACCGCATTTTACAAATCTTCAGCAAAACTACAGTTTTTCAAAAATCTACCGTAAAACTATCGCAATTTTCAAAAACTTCCGAAAAAGTCCAATTTTTTCAAAAATCTGCCGCAAAAACTACCGAATATTTTCAAAAATCTGCCGCAAAAACTACCGAATATTTTCAAAATCTACCGTAAAACTACTGCATTTTTGTCGAAAAATACCGCAAAAACTTCCGCATTTTGAAAAAATCTACCGCAAAAAATACCGCAATTCAAAAAAACTACCGGAAATTTTTGGTCTTAGGTTGGCAGTTATGATGTATCATGTTATATACCATTTTGTTCCTCATTACATAAGTTACATAAGATTCCAAAGGTTAAAAATCAAGGGGAGTCCTTGAAAAAATATACAATGTATTTTAAGTATGTGGGTATGGGGTAATTTATAAGCACTTTTGTAAGTATTTTTGGACCCGGTCCAGTGATCTGTTCACTTTGTCCATTACCCATTTCTTGTAATAAAGGTGGCACCATGGTCCCTGGCCTCCCTACAAGGCACTGCATGAGTCCTGTCTATACATCTTTGTGAATAACTGTCACAGAAATGTGGACTGAACTCTGTGATGATAACAACTGCTAGAAATTTGCAATACGGAAACTAAATTTTTCCTTTAAATTGCCCTCAAAATGACAAGAAATTGCCCCTAAATGACCCCATACCCAAATACTTTGATACATTGTATCATTTTTCAACGACATCCCTTGATTCTGAAACGTTGTCATCTTATGTAACCTTCTATGAGGAACAAAATGATATATAGAACAATATATATAGGGAAAACAAAATAAGAAAATTACTCCTGCATTCAAGGGTCTCAGTACTACACTGAGACAGAACATATGTGATTACTTTTGTGGTGACATAAAAAGTTTTCGAACATGCCTGTATTAACGCCTTCTATAAACTGTGAACAAGTCAATGTCGGTCAATAGCGCTTGCGCTAATGTTTATTGTACAAAAATATCCGACTTGAAATAAATATTGATATGATATGATACAGGCCCGTCCCCCCCCCCTGGCCAAAAATTCTTTCAAAATCATGAAGTTTTCCATCATTCTGAGCATTTTTACGTGATTTTGGCCATATTCGGACCAAAATGATCAAAAGGAACCCCCTCAGGAATTTTTCAAAAAGTGACCCCCCCCCCCCCCCTTGGCAAATCCTGGCTACGGGCATGTGATATGATATGAATATTTCAACCTGTATGAATTCGTTTCAAGAGTTAAAAGCCCATGGTAGAATATACATGTACTTGTATATAATCATATCCTATACATGTGTATCTCATACTTGAGTGGGTTTGGGGTAGATATCACCCGGGAATATATATCGTATCTGAGGAGCGGGCAGGATATATTGTATATGTCCCGCTCCAGGCCAAATGCGGGCAGATATAATATATCCATCCCGCTCCCGGGAATTTTTCAAAAGTTTAAAAAAGTTTAAATATCAAAAGTTTTAATTTTTTAATTTTAAAATTTAATTTTTTTAAGTTTAAATGTTACAATTTCATTGTATTGAACAAAAAGAATATTACGAAAATGTTAAATATAAATATCTTGTCATTTGAAAAAGGTGGAAAGGTTATATCTACCCTAAACCCACTCAAGTATGAGATACACCAGTTATGCACGGTCGGTTTGGATACATGGAATATCCCTTGGGATATACAATACATCTTCCCTCGGTCCCTTCGGTCCCTCGGGAAGATATATTGTATATCCCTCGGGATATTCCCTGTATCCAAAACCTCCCAGTGCATAACCCCTATTTATCTCTTCTATATTCCATACTAACAGAACCTTTTTAACAGAACCTTCATGAGTTCATGAAGGCGCAATATTTACCGGGATAAACAATCGCACTGAACGAAACGTTTTGGATTTCCCTGAACAATTACGCATGCGCATTAAACAGCGTGACGTCATTATTGCTAAGTACCTGACAACAAATCGATGAGAAAAATTTGCACGGAAAAGGGTTCCAAACTTCACTGTTTTAATACAAATTACAAAATAATACACTTAAATTATTACGAAAATGCCTGAAGAAAAGGCTCAAGATTATTGGATCGAGGAGAGTATTAAAGACAAGGAGTTTGAAGAGTTATATGAGCTCGGAAAAGAACTTGGAAAGTGAGTACAACTTTTTTCTCAATTTTGTATCTCATCGAGAATATTTCAACACTTTTTTAAGTTTGTAGCCCCACCACAGAGAGTTGAGAGTTGTGTAACTTGTGTTCATCTGAACATGGGCTTTCAACTATTGAAAGCCCCTGATCTGAAAAAGCACATGGTCATCAAAATTGTAGAAAGTACAATTTCACCTTAGAGGAGGAAAACCCTTACAGTCTGTTACATAGTCCAACAACATTAGACCTAGCCTGGGCCTCGTTTCTTATCTGACATGTCTTATGGCCCCGGCTAGGTCTAACTTCCATGATGATTTTGCCCTTGTTGCGATCATTTAATCGTTCAGCAGGTTTCGACATGCGGAACTAATTAAACTCCGAAAACATGGTAATATTACATAAAGAATGTGATTCAAGCATGCATACATACCTTATAAATACATACACACCATCCCGTATACCCCTTAGACCATATTGATGCATAATTACGAAAATATTGGAGACAGGTTTGGAATTTTACGAAAATATCGGTCAGCTCCGGTAACATCGAAATTGCAAATCGTATCAGGAATTAACCGTCATTGCGACACTGCATCAACGAACAGTAGGTTTGCAATTAATAACGATTTTGTGTGTATACAAGCGCTATATAAATCAATCAAAGATACCTGCTATCCTCAAAAATGGCTATTTTATCCCGAGTAATCGCGTGATAATTATCAATCTATTTGACAACAATTTCGTTTCAATAGTTTAAATTTTAACCTGGGACGAACAGACACAATGAAGGACATGCGGAAATGTCATTTTAGAGATTGGTAAGTTTAACCTCATTTTACTTGTATAAATGACCATTTAATACAATAATATTGTGTTGAATCGCTTGATGTTATGTGTTTTTATATTGTTGTCAAGTATCAGTTGCATGTTATCGCGGAAAAATGGTTTCGGTGGATCCAAAACTTGCATCAATGGAAAGAATAGTAAAGAGGTTAAACTCAATAATGGCCCCAAGAAAATTCTTAATAATAAATAACGCCGTTATTGAGTTTAACGACGTTGAACTATCTGTTACACTGCTTCAAAGGCAAGCAGTTGAACCTGAAAAATAAGAAATCTATAGACCATTGTGCCATAATATATAGAAAAATATATTCATATTGCACACGAATGACATTTGTATATTTCAGATTATTTAGTGCTTAGTGCAATCAGCCTGTGCCCTCTTGTAATTTGAGGTCTGCCCGCCATGTTATATTTTGGGAATTAACATTGTAGTGAAGCATCAAAATATTAGAGGTTACAGACTTTATGAGCCAATTAAAAACAATCCAACATATACAAATGTAATTCGTGTGCAAGAATATATTTTTCTATATATTATTGCACAATATTATTTAGATTTCCTATATTTCAGGTTTAACAGCTTGCCTTTGATGCAGTGTAACAGACTTTAGTTAGAGCTTTAGAGATGACAGTTGAAATTACATCTCTTGTTTACCACCTTTGTTTGTTAGAATTTTCACTGGCTAGGTTACAAATACAACAAGTTGTAAGAATGATATTGGTTAACACTCCAGGAATTAACTTTATATTATTCGAAGCATGTTCAAATTTTGAAATGCTATTGAATGATGTCATTTGTCTGTTTATGTTCACAATCAGCGAGGATGTCTTCTCAATACACATTTACCTTATAGACATGTATCTTCTTTGAACCCTTGGGTTATTCCCCCTCTTACTAAAATTATCCTTGGGTCATGGTCATATTGCAGATCATTTTCAGTATTATCAGTATTACTAATTGACTAATCAGTGATTAAAATTAAATGTGCTTTATTCCTTACAGGGGAGCAACATCATTGGTGCACAAATGTTTGGGCCAAGGAGTTGAAAGTAATCCATGGGCCGTCAAAATTATCAATAAACAGGTATACTCTTAAAACTAACAATAAATAGGTACTCAAAACATTATCAATCAATACTGAAGGTAATAATCTCAAAATCATCAATCAGACTTGTATGCTAAAGAAAAAATGAAAAAAATCGCTACCTTTCTGAGTAAAATCTCCAATAAAATAGTTTTCAAAAGAAGGTTTCACCACATTTAGGAAACTTTCACAGTATTTTAGAATTAAATACCTCTATATTATTGCAAAAGGCTTAATATGTCAATAAACTGACATATTTTAATTGAAATTAATTATAACTTGTTAATCCAAGATATTGATGAGTGAATATTGATTTGTTTCCTCTAATCCCTTTCTAGTAAGGTTGATGATATTAATATAAAGCAAGATATTGAAAATAGTTGCATTATTTTTCAGGTAGACAAAAAGATTATACGATCTGAAATAGGTTCACTTCTCAGACTCTCTCATCCAAATGTGGTAAGTACACTTAGCATTTCATTGATAAGTTTTAGAAAGTTGACATCTCATTTTGGCTTTATGTATGGGAGTGGGGGTAGTTCAATGGGTTTGAGCGATCCCGGCCCCCACCCCCTTGCCAAAAAGTATTAATAAACATGCAGTTTTCACCATTCTGAGCACTTTTTAAGTGGTTTGGCCATTTTTGAACCAAATTTTCCAAATTGAACCCCCTTCTTTTAGGCAGAAATTGCAGTCACGATTTTTTGTGTCACCATCAATAGCCTACACTACAGAAGTAACTCTTATTGAAAGTGGGTAGAAGTACCTATTATTGAAAGTGGGTAGAAGTACCTATTACTGAAAGTGGGTAGGACTTACCTATTATTAAAAGTGGGTAGAAGTACCTATTATTGAAAGTGGGTAGAAGTACCTATTATTGAAATTGGGTAGAAGTACCTATTATTGAAATTGGGTAGAAGTACCTATTATTGAAAGTGGGTAGAAGTAACTGTTACTGGAAGTGGGTAGGACATAGCTATTATTAAAAGTGGGTAGTAGTTACTATTATTGAAAGTGGGTAGAAGGAAAAATTACTGTTATGGTCTCCACCTTTTAAGTGGATGGTGTTTGGTGTCCAGTGTTCGGAAATTAGCATCTGTAACAAATAACAGGTGATGACATTTTGCATGTGAATGCCTTGTTTGATTGCATTGTGCAAAATCAAGTTCTTGCAGAGGATAAACTGAGAGTTTGATTTACTGACTTACCATTACATCTGAATCCATTTCATGCCACTAAATAATTTAGTTTGTCTATTGAAACAATGTAAACAGTAATTAATATCTTGCTATCAAATTGTGCAATCAAAGCAAAGCTTAAATCAGAATCTTAACATGAAATGGACTGTACAATTATTGATCACAATAGTTACAAGAGTGATTTTAATATCAATATGTCATATTTTATTGCCATGAATCAAAGCTTTCCTTGTATTGAATTAGACGATAAATTGCAGACTGGAAATTGATATTGTAATATTTTCAGTTAAGAGCTTCCATTTTCCTTTTTATGTCTATGTATTCTTTATACAGGGCTTCTATAGGTTCCGTCTATTTCAATGTTAATGGTTTCAGGGGTACCATTTCAGGAACTACATTTTATTATTTCTCAAGCAACACGAGTCCTTGACTGTGGGGACATTATTTTTTATGAACCCCATGGCAGAGTTTAAGCTTTGGATGGAATTAATCACAGTGGTCAATAATTTTATAATTTATCCAAAAAGCAAAGATCCCAAAGTTATTATAATGCAAGGATAAATCATGGGATCTGTAATAAGCTATATACTGTAACATGTATGGAAAAATGCAAGTAAAGATTAATTTTATTATGATAGACTCCCTACCTTCCCGATCAATTTAATTGAACACAATTACTCAGATGCGAGTAGGTAGTTACCAGTTTTGCCACCAGGTGGCTAATTCAGGGGAAATAACATGGCAGGGTATTACAAAGTTCCCTTAAACTTGAATATTTATCAGTTTTTGTGGTTTACTTTTCATATTTACCTTATGTATTTGATAGTTATACAAATTAAAATATGTCCAGTAAAATAAAATATTATCTGCCCAACACAAGAAAAGATATTTCACTTTTTGTGATTTTACGACATGGGGTCTATGGGGAATCTCCCCGACCTAGAAGTCTCATTTTTAAAGAAAACTAATTTTTCAAAGTTGATAAACTCGTTTCAAGACCTCATTTCTAGGTGTAATTTCACATGTCGTAAATCAAGAATAAAATTGAATATATATTAATTTTTCTCAAAGTCAATTCCTTTTTAAAATGATTCTATCCCAACAAAGCATTTTTGACTTGTCCCCTCCCTAAAATGTTATTAATTGTGGGAGCAATCATATATTGCATAATATCATAGGAACTTTAATCTTTTTTTTAGATTCGCTTAAAGGAAATATTTGAGACACCTACAAAGATCTCTATGGTCCTGGAACTTGTCACAGGAGGTGAACTTTTTGACAGGTAATACATGTAGATAAAACTGTTTTATGAAACTATTGTTTTAATAACAATTTCTTTCAAGCTGTAAAGGATTGGTATCGATATGGAGAACTTTTTGAACACACGTTTCTCTTAAACCAGTCATAAACATTTTTTAAAATTGAACACATCGTCAATTTAATGGTCATCTTTTGAATGGTAACAATATAATTTGAAAATATATATATACTTTCATCTATATTGTTTTAGAAAACACATCAAACACTTGTTTTGTTTCCAGAGTGAAATGAAACATCTTTCCAAACCTCATTGGAACAAAACGACATAAACACAACATGTTTAGGTCTCTCAATATTGTAATTGTACAAAGGAAAATTTGGTTGATTTTAAAAAAGTATCTTGTTAATGAAATAAAAGGTTTATCTTGATTTTTATCTATTTTGGGGGGATTTTGTTTTAATTTTTTGAATACTGTTCGGAAAGACATTTTATTTCATTTTCAAGAATTGATAGAAAGGAGCAAAAACAATTGCATTAAAAAAACAAAAAATGTTAACAAAAACAGTTATATAAATATTTCTAAATAATTTTCGCATTAAATTGTTGTCAATCAGTCAACATTACATAAAATACTGTGGTTTTTTTAGAGAATGTTTTCAATGATTGGTTTAAGAGAAAAACATTTTTGAATTCAGTTCTCCATATCGATAGCACTCCTTTTTATTTTGAATGTCCTATCATTTTGATAATTAATTAGATATGAGATCAGTCAAATTAGTCATATCTGACAAAACTATTTTATACAAAGCTACATAACTATCTAAAACATCACTATACATAAACTACAAAACATTAAAATACAATGTAATGCAATATGATACAATACATTACAATGCAATATAATATATTACAATATAGTATACTACAATACAATACAATGCAATACAATACAATAATGGCCAATCTATGAGGCTACAATTAAATGTGATCATGGCTTATAATTGTATTCAATCTATGGTGGTTACATGATTTATGTGTAGTACATTTAGTCTATGCTCATATCATTGGCAAACATTATCGATTTTAAAATATCAAAAATCTTGAAAAAGGGCCACATTTGTATGTTGCTCAAATAGTGTACAGGTTAAAATTTTCAGAAAGGACCAGGTATCGGAGGGCAGGTGATTTTGGACAGTCATTTTTTCTCCATTAGTATTTTCTGACCATTAATTAAGATATGACTGTCTTAAATCACTTGCCATACTATACCTGGTCCTTTGCTGAAATACATGAACATTATTAGAGTGTATGATTCACTGAGTTCCTGTCTGTTTTACAGGATTGTAACTCGAGGATCTTATAGTGAGCGTGATGCTTCAAAGTGTATCAAAGAAATGCTTGAGGCAGTAAAGGTAAGGGACCATGTCATAAAATGTAATTTTTTTGTGAGCATACATTTACATTGATATATTCATTGATATATTATTGTTCATTATCACCAATAAGCTGTACCTAATTAAGCTGCACATACTTCAGGTTTATAAATTAAGTTTTGTAAAAATCAACAGCAACAGGGTAATATAGCAGCTTTGATTATATCTCAATAACTCAGATGCAAGTAGGTAGTTACCAGATTCACCGCCAGGTGGCTCATGCTGGTCAGATAGCATGGTGGGTATAGTAGAATGTTCCATTTAATTAGATGTTAATATGTTTTAGTGGTTTAATTTACATATCACCCTTATTTGTCTAATAGTTATGCAAATTGAAATATGTCCAGTAAAGGAAAATCCTTAACTAGAAGTCACATTTTAAAATGTAGATGTACTTTTACATGTCGATTTCAAATATGACATCATTTTTGCCTGAATTAAGATTTTTCTACTTGCATCTAGTGTATTCTAGCATTGGAATATTAAATGTGAATTTTTCTTTAAAAAATGGATTTTATATAAACAAAGTTTCTTAAGAAAATCATTTCTTTACGAAAAACATGTACATGATACAGCTGTATATAATGTATAGAAAATAAATGCCTGTTTTCTTATTACTATTTGTAGTATCTCCATGACAACGATGTAGTGCACAGAGATTTAAAGGTACAATTTTACAGAATTATTATCCTACTACTAACATTTTGAGATATTGTCCATCCATGCATCCATCTGTCTATCTGGTTGTCTCAGACCAAGTGATAACTCAAATACCAGTTGACGAATTTGGTTCAAATTTTATAGACTTATGCCTTATGAACATAGAATCTGTCCTTGAGAATAGATTTCTGATATGGCCACTCAATTTAAAGTTGCCACCATCATTCGTTAAACATCTAACATATCTGTCTGATAACTCAAATACCAGTCAACAGATTTGGTTCAAATTTTACAAGCTGATGTCTTGATATAACCATACACTACAAAATGCATATATTCTATTTCTGTTTATTTCCAGCCTGAAAATCTTCTCTACGAAAATAATGCAGATGATTCAAAGTTAAAAATTGGTAAGTCAAAATTCCAGGGGGTACTCTGTTTAACCTTGACAGGGATCCTCAGCACACATGGGGTACCTTTTTTGCCATTTGTTATGGCAATGGACCCACATTTAAGAATGTGGTATGACAATGCCCCCCAAATTATGACTTTTGAGGCATGACAATGGTCCAATTTTTTTATGTTACCTCTCACTTGTGGTATGTCATTGGTCTAGTTGTTACACATACCCTTAATTTGAGGTTGTTTTGGATCATTTTCCTCAAATTCGCTCAAAATACAATCAAATTTCAAAATTTTCCCAGACCCCCCTAAAAGCTCATTTTTGCTTCGCTCAACTCTTGTTCCCGCGGTGGCGTACCACTTAGAAATATAGCGCTACGCACATGGCTTGTATCAGATATCACAAATGAGACATATTCAATTCAAAAAAATTTTAATAGGGGAGACGAGGGCAAATTGGTCTTGGTCAGGGCATGGGCTTTCAATTAGATGATTTTGAAAGATAGACACCAAGCATTGCATTGTACAGTACATGATGTATGATGTGAATAAAGTATACTTGTACTAACTGTATTACCCCTCCTCTTTTCCAGGGTCCTATTGTATATAACAGAGATACTTTAATAACTGATTAAAATCAAAGCATACGTTTCAGGCAGGATGGTTTAATAGTTGTTTTTCTATTTTAAAGAGGCGAAACACTGAGTTTATTGAATACATGTACAATGATGTATCATTATCACTCTGAAAATTGTTTTTCTCAGGAGTAGATTTCCTGTCTATAAATGAACACTTTATTTTTATTAAGAAACTCTGGAAACACAAAGATAAACATTTTCAGTCCCTTTCAATACGATGGTTTATGTTGAGAAATAAAAAATTAAAATGAAACTGATGTTTTAAAATTCATATTGAATTTTCCCCAATACCTCTAATGAATACTTTTATCCCAAAATTGATCATTTTATGTATTTAAAATGACACCATCTCTAATATTGTCCTTTGGTTGTGTTTTCAGCTGACTTTGGTTTGTCTAAGGTTGTGAGTGCAGAGGTTCAAATGCAAACTGTGTGCGGAACACCGGGATACTGTGGTGAGAACACAATATTATATAGTAATGCATATTGAGAGTGCAGTCAGACCCCAAAATAAAGCACACGAATAGAAACTTAATTTCATGATTCTTGAAAGAACGTATAATTTGGAACAAGTTAATTCCAGTGTAAGCCTAAAACTGGACAATGTCAATTGTAAATGGCAAAGGATTATTACTCCACAATGAGTTAATGATGTATTTAAACTTTCAACTTTGTTGTTGATATGATCGAGCTAAAAATATAAATATTTCTTCAAAACCACCAGCTAGGATTGTTACGTTTTAACTAGTGCTTTTGATCAAATATTTTAAAAGTGCATATATAATGTATATAAAAATGTTGTTTGTGTTTTTGTAGCACCTGAAGTCCTTCTTGGGAGAAAATATACCAGTGCAGTTGATCTATGGAGTGTGGGAGTTATAACATATATCTTGTAAGTAGCTGTGAATAGTTTAGTAAGTAACAGAAGATTAAAAAATTAAATATATATTTGCAACTCTTTAGTGCATATGTTTCATTAAACAGAAATTCATCAGGATCTATTTGATATTAATTTGCATGTTTTGTAAAATGACAACATAATCAACAGTATGTGGCTAAATAATGGTGTGTACATGTACAAGTCTGCATGTAAACGTATGTCACTTTTCCATTGTTTTCCATTAATGGAGAGTGCAAACCAGCAGAGAGAATTTGCTTATGACCCACAGATTTGCAAAATCTTGAATTTTGCACAAGTTAATCATCACACTACAAGAGTGAAATGATTTTTAAATTTTTCAAATAAAAAGATTTAACATTTGTGTTAATTTTGTGTTGACTAACATGATATTACATAACATTTCAAGTGTGAAATAATTTTAATATTTTAAAGGATTTAACATTTGTTCTTTCAGACTTTGTGGCTATGAGCCATTCTACTGTGAGCAGGAGGCTGACATGTACAAAAAAATAATCAAATGTGACTACGAGTTCCATGAAAGTTGGTGGTCTGATGTCAGTGAAAATGCAAAGGTAAATATACTTGACAAATAATGAAATTATTTGATTTCTTTGAGGAAAATAGAGGGCAGCACTGTTTCCTGTTCTGTTCTGTTCACATTAATTTTGAGATCCCTTCAAAGTATGGTATTATTATAGTATACCTTTGATTTTAGTATATTAATACCATAATTTGAGGAGATCTCAAAATTAATGTAAAATCTTAAATTGATCCCCATTATTAAGATTTTTTGCAGCTCTGTTTTTGGGCCACCTTGTATGTTATCAATGGATTACACATGTAAAGTCTATGTAAAATGAAATATATGATTCATATGCGATCTATACAAAGCAATAGTCTATGAGAAATGTGTATATGAAGTCAGAAGTCAGTTTTTTTATGTCACCACCAAAAATTTGTGACATACTGTTATGGTCTCTGTTTTTTATGTCACCAAGAAAAAGTGGTGACATATTGTTATGGTCTCCGTATTTTGTGCAGTTGGTGATTGGTGGTTGGCGTCTGTAACAAATTCTTAAAAACTTCCAATAACTTAACAAATATTGTTTAGACAGACTTCAGTTTTTTGGAAAATCATCTACAAGTTTGCAGAAGTTCGAATCTGACTTTAGATTTGGCCTTCTTCTCAAGGTCAAAGAAAGGTCAAAAAGGTATTTTCTTCAACTTGCTTCAAATTGACCAAATTTTAGATTTGACCTTCTCAATGTCAAAAAAGGTCAAAAAGGTATTTTATCAACGTGCTTCAAATTGACCAATTTTTTTAAAAATCATCTACAAGTTATCAGAAGTTCAAATCTGACTATAGATTTGACCATCAATGACATTCTCAAGGTCAAAAAAAGATTTGACCTTCTCAAGGTCAAAAAGGTATTTTTTCAACTTGCTTCAAATTGACCAATTTTTTTCAAAATCATCTAATTCAAATCTGACTTTAGATATGAGATTTCACCTTCAATGACCTTCTCAGATTCAAAAAAGGTATTTTTTCAACTTGCTTGAAATCTGACTTAAGATTGAACTCATAATATTGTGAGCAACTAGGTGGTGACATTTTGTCATATTAATGCCTTGATTATCAATACAGTATTTCTTCTAATTTAAAACAAATAAATTCGAGATAAATCATCTAAAATCTGTAAAGCATTATGTCCAAGTACATACAGTGTAGTAACACTAACTGTTGTAGGACTTGGTGCGGAAGCTACTTGTAACTGATCCAGAGAAGCGACTGACAGCTAGAGAGGCCCTACAGCACCAATGGGTGACAGGAGCAGGGGCACAAAACAATCATATGCTGGAATGCCAGAACAAACTGAAACAGTTTAATGCAAGAAGGAAACTACGGGTAAGTAGATCAATACACTAGATAGTACACTAAGGTTTTAAATTGAGTGGTTTAATGAAACAGAAAATCGAATTTGTTTTTCACTGTTTTTGTCAATTAAGGATACGGGCAAAGGGGCAATCTTTTTGTGAAGAACACTCTGAGATCAAAATATCATTAACATTCACTTTTTACTGCTAGTCAAGAAATTCATGATTCATGATGGAGAAAATGTTGCTTAATATAACCTAACATTTCAACTCCAATAAAATTCTTTAAAAGCGCTACATTAGAGATTATTAAGATCTGCAGCATCAAAACTGAATAATAATCTGTAATAGTGTTGAAGAGTAGCGTTGCTAAGTGGGATTTCAGGAAATGTTGTTGTTTGCAGGCTGCCACTGATGCTGTGATTGCAATGAACCGAGTCAGACTGGGAGATCTAGAGAGAAGTCAGAGTCACAGTGCAGGTACAGCCATGGAGGAGGTTTGAACCCACAATGCAACACAGAGGAGGCATTTATTCCCACAATGCACAAAGAAGGATGATGGACATTCCATTATCGAAGTTTTCCATGCATAGTCTTAGTACAATGTAACAGTGCATACTGTAAAACATTATGCTATTGTTAAGAAATAATCTCAACATTGATTCAATTTTTTATGGTCAAGATGAACAATTCTCAAATATGACTACTGAAGTAAAATTTTATATTTCTTTAAATACAGACATTCTTTAAATAATTTAAAGACTGAAGAGTTTCATGATGATGGAATTTGTTTATTTATTTATCATTTAGAAGATAATCTCATGTTATCCTTATATCAAAGCTTATTATATTTCTTTGAATAAGTCTTCCTTCAGGCATTTGAAGTTCTCTAAAGACATAAGAACTTATGCGACATGATGGTCTCACGATGGTGAGAAATTAAGTCCAATATTAACTAACAAAAAATGTGTTATAAGGGTTGATTAGGTATGTACAGATTATGTTCCAAAAAGAGTTAATGGATTAAGTCCCATTCCTTCCCCATTTCATTAAAGCATGGACTTTCAAGAGATGATATTACATAGAGTTAAAGGTCCCATATTTACATATATATCTCTAAGTAAAAGGAAAGGGGAATGAACGAATTGGAGAGAAATAAAATCAAGGTTACTGACTTTTCATTAACAACAAGAGACCGAGAGTGTAGTGAACTCAATTATGAGCTATTTCAAAATGAGATTTGTGCTCTGTAATATGCACATCCAATGTGATATCCAGGACACAGTGCCAAATGGCCAATATGTCAGAAAATGTAACATATTTATGTCATTTACTATATATTATTATTTAATGTATAGAATCAGTCCGTCCATAAGATAATAGTATTTATATTTACGATATACGAGTATACATATCAAAATGTAATCCACTGAAATCTTATGTAATATAGATACATTTTTATTTACATTCCTATTATTTGATATGTGTAAATATTAGCAGTATATAGGATGTATCAATAAATATTCACATGTACATTAACATTATGATTTTGCTTTTACGTCACCAACATGAAACATTGCTATACTACCATATCATAATGGTCCTGATTTTTTTATTGTAATGTCACCAACAAAACGTGGTGGCATATTGTTATGGTCTCCATTTTTGTGACGGCGGTTGGCGATCGGTGGTTGGTGGTCGGCGTTGGCGTCTGTAACAAATTCTTAAAACCTTTAATAACTTAACAAAAACTGTTTAGACTGACTTCAGTTTTTTCAAAATCATCTACAAGTTTTCAGAAGGTCGCGAGTAAATCTCAGGCACGACATGGAAATCTGAAATTATAGAGGGCGCATATTCATTTTACACACGGCGAAATGAAATGAGATTTCCCGGGAAATTTTGGACAATACTAGTATATTAATAGTCTATTGTACATTGTACAACCACATTCGACCAGCACGATCACAAATCATATAGGGACCAATTAATATGATCTAAAACAATCAACCACGTACTGACCGAGCTTAGTAAAGAAAAAATATCAAGGATCAAGGTAAATCACTTATGATCAGGAACAATCACCTAAACCAGGGACAATCAACTAAGATTAGAACAATTGAGTACAATCACAGTATCAAAACAAAATATTAAGAATCACAACCAAACAATTGCTCAGAAGAGTCAAGAAAAATTTAAAGTAATAAAAACAATCACTTAAGATTAAGAACAATCACCTGTAAAATTGTTTAGGATCGACCCAATCCCTAAGGATCAAGACAGATACCAAAGATCAAGATCATGAGGATATTTCTAAGGATCAAAAACATTATCACTTATAAGTCATCAATAACAATCACCTAGGATCAAGATTAATCACTTAGAATTGAGAACACCAAGGGCTCAGAAGAAATTTTGGGATCGGGAAAAATCACTTAGTGTGCTGTTAATGGGTTCAATAATGTAACTTAAAAGTCCAATATAAGATGAGATATAATGCATTTTTATTTGAGACATAAATACTATAACTTGACAGACATCTAGCAGCCCCTCGGCTATTGGCTAAAACACATCACGTGGTACAAAAGTAGGTCGAATTTGTGTAGTCCCGCCATATTTAGACAGACTTCTGGTACAAGTGCACTTGGATTTGCGCCCTCTATAATTTCAGATTTCCATGTCGTGCCTGAGATTTACTCGCGACCGTTTTCAGAAGTTCAAATCTGACTTTATATTTAAGATTTGACCTTCAGCGACCTTTTCAAGGTCAAAAGTATCTTTTTTTGCAACTTGAGCAATTTTTCCAAATCGTCTACAACTTATCAGAAGTTAAAATTGACTTAAGATTTGAGATTTATTTACCCTGCGTGTAGAGTCTAGTTAAAGACGAAGCTCTCTTTGAAGAAGTGAAGTCAAACGAATGCAAAGGGTAAGATTTCTTTCAATTTGTTTCAAATTGACCAATTTTTTCAAAATCATCTAGAAGTTCTCAAAAGTTCAAATCTGGCTCTAGATTTTACCTTCAATGACATTCTCAAAGTCAAAAAGATATTTGATTTTCAATGACCTTCTCAAGGTCAAAAAGGTCATCGACAAGTTCTCAGAAGTTCAAATCTGACTTTAGATTGAACTAATAATATTATGAGTAACTAGGTAATACGTGGTGACATTTTGTCATGTTAATGCCTTGTTTTGATTATTGCATTCAGAATTATCAATAGATTGTGAAATGGAAGGAATACAGAGGATTATATCTGGAATCCTGCGTTGACTGTGTAGCAACTGTTTTCTCATAATGAATCAATCACCATCATCTTTCATTTTTATGTCACCACCATAAGCGGTGACATTATTCTGCTTTTATAGTCTCCAACTTTATTATTGTGGACTGCGGTCGGCGTCGTAAATTCTTACAACTTCCAATTACAATTACTAAACAGGTGGTGACATTTTGTCGTGTTAATGCCTTGTTTTATATATCCATGCATGCATCCAGGGCCCTGTGAAGAACAGACAAGATTTATGAAAATATATATAGCCTGCAATTAACCCCATCAACGAAAAGTGTTCACATTACTTAATATAATATACCCATGGGCTTTCAACTAGACTAATTGAAAGCCCATGATTATACCATATCATTTGTTTTGATCAAATATACCTAAACACTCTATTTTTGTCAGATAAGTTATCAAATTCAGTTGACTAGTTATTAACTTTTTGAATCCTGAAATTAAATAATATTCCATTCTTGCAAGGCAACTACTATTTAATTATTTCCAATATATAGTCGAAAGAATATGACATTTGGCTGGTCAGTTGTAAACGAGAAAATGTGTTGAGGAAAAAATCAGAGATACATGTACTTAGAATTAAGTTAATTTCTATTTCCAGTCACCAGCAAAACAATGTCATCTCAATGTTTTGAAGTAAAACACAAAACGGGGATGTTTCTGTCGTAAAGTGCCGTCTAGGTTAAGTTCTCGTAAATTGAAGAAATGGAAATGTCTAAATTGGCTCGTTAAAAGTATATTACGAATTGGTTCTGGTATGTCTAAAAACATCCTTGCTAGACTAATGTCATTTTATGGGAACAGGTGTTAGTATACTCATCCCCTAACACCACTTGATAGAGCACTATACTATTAATGATCGCGTCTCCCGTACCCAATTACAATTATTTGGTGAAAAACATCGAAGCTGTGAAGATCTACTGAAAAACAGCAAATGTAATTGATTCTTCAATGAGATCCAATTGTAGTGTGATAAAAAAGAAATTTAAATCTTGGTTGTCTAAATTGGATGTGTATTAGATCTATAGGAGTATGGTATTCAGCGATTAGCTCATTAAGTGCTACAGATGAGTAACTGCACTCATCACACTGGCTTTTGAGGACATTTGAACATTCACACGCGTCCAAAGAAATAATGAAATTATCAAAGATATTTATGTCAAAGATCTGCTAGGCCTGTTATTTACGAGTTTTATGACGTTGTAAGAATTACATCCTAGTTTGGATGGAAATAATTTTGCGAGTGTACACAACTTGACAAACGATTTAGTCAATTTAGTACAATGCTCCAGCTTCCGGGTCTAACTTTGCGCCTAAAGCGCCCTTGGTATCCGAATTGTTTGTTAATCAGGACTTTGAGTCAATCATTGCCACATCTCAATTACTCAGATGCGATTAGGTAGTTACCAGTTTCGCCAACAGGTGGCTGATTCGGGGGAAATAACTTAATGGCAGGGTATTACAAAATTCCCCTAAACTTGAATATTCATCAGTTTTAGTGGTTCACTTTTCATATTACTCTTATGTATCTGATAGTTATACAAATCAAAATATGTCCAGTAAAAGAAAATATTATCTGCCCAACACAAGAAAAGATATTTCACTTTTTGTGCTTTTACAACATGGGGTCTATGGGGAATCTCCCTAGAAGTCACGTTTTCAAAAAAAAAATATGTTTCTAAAGTTGATAAACTCTTTTCCAAACCACATTTCTAGATGTAATTTTACATGTAGATTCCAAATATGGTATCAGTTTGACTGAAGTTTGAAATTTTAATGATGTAAATCAAGATTATTTTTACTCGCATCTAGTCTATTGAAATTATACGTATGTATTCGGTTACACGTCACAACACAGGGTCTCGATCAACATCTAGGATTACCCATCTCTCCGAGGATGAGATAACGCAAGACATTGTGCTAAACTAGCCCTTTTTGAACCGTCATAAGTACAAATCAAAACTGATTTTTTATGTGATAAAGAACAATTCTACTATGTAAAGCAATTCTACAAATAGAGAGATTCAAAATATTTGTATTTTCCAAACCAATTATAGAGTTTTTCTTAATCCAAGAGTACAGTACAGTATACTCTATTCATTACACTTAGTCTAATAATATATTAAGCCTCATCTTTTGACATTTTCTTTCTAATGAGTATCGATTTTGCTCTAATGGCCCACTTGTCTCTATTAAAAGCTAAGTATTGCACCTGCTTCATCAAACGTATGCTATCTCAGGCACCTTGAAACACTTATT